CACTAATAGAATGATTCATTTATTCCAAACGAGATTCGTAAACGATCAAGTTTTAGAAAATTAAAGACTTGAAGAACTAAAATGATTCCAAAAAATCTGAAATTTTATCAGATTATAGGTATCAATGAGAACTAACTCTGTGCTCAATTTCCGCCCAATCGATCCTGTCATTTTTGATAAACCACTATTCGTTTCTAAATCATTTTTTGCAAATATCTCAAAAGTTACTCAACTGATTTCATTTTTTTTTTTCAAAATATTCATCTTGATGTCTTCTATCTTAATCAATTAAAATTTGCAGATCTATCCACACAAAGTTGCCGAGATATTTCCATTTTTCGGTTTTTCTTCAATTTAATGTAATATTTAATTTAACGTAATTTCGGAAATTAATCGAGGGCCGCAGTGGCGTCCCGTCGCCAAGAGCGGGTACGCTACTGGCAGGGTTGGGCGTGTAAATTAGTACGTTGGTAAATTAGACCGTTCTTTACCGATGTAATTTACGTAAATTACCTAGACGGGTTTTTTACATTTTTTACATTACTTCGCAAAGCTTGCAATTTTCGGTTACTAGAATGCTTTATTTTATTCCGACTGACAAAAACGCATAAATATTGTAAAAAATAGTATATTATGTCCCGAGGACAGATAAACCGTGAATTTTATTTTTAACTTCACTTTGTTCGGTTACAACGCGGATCTCAGTAGTTCGGGTATAAAATATTATTTTGTCCCTAGGACTGTAAACCCGCGATTCTAACATCGATTCCCTCGGTTAAATCGCGGTTTCCGGGCCCAGAGACATGAAATATTGTACGTCATACGGCGAGAAAATAATGTTATGACTCCTGTCATTAAAATCCTCGCTTTTGGCTCGGATTATAAAGCCACATTCGTCAGAAAATACTTTCATCGCCTGGTGACATAATGTACTATTACATTCCGTGATTCGATTTACGGCATTTTAAGAAACTCAAACACACGAGCCTCATACCTCATAAAGAGTAAATTTCACGAAGGTCAAACGTTGCAAAAGGCCAAAGTCACCTCCATTGTGAGAAAGTCAATCTCATTATTTATTGAGCTTTATTGGATTCTCGACTTTATTATTTGGAGCCCCGGAAAAGAATTTTGTGACCCGAGGCGAAGCTGAGAGCTACCAATCACACGAGCTGACATTTTTTGAGAGTTATGTTACGTTCAGCGAGTGGCCGAACTGTGCCTTGTTCATTTACTTTTCGTTTACTCGTAAACGAAAAAGCACTTTTCGGCACGAGGTGAACGTGGCAGCAGTGTCAAAAATATGTTTTCATCACGCTGTGACGAAAAGTGAAATTTTCGGCACGCTCCGCGTGTCTAAAAGTCCAATTTCCGTCACATTGTGATGAAAAATATTGTTCGTAACTCGTGAAAAAATGTTTTTTAGCTCGTGGGACTTTAGTATATTTCGTCACGAGTGCAAAAACACTTTTTTGCACTCGTTACGAAATATACTATTTCCCTACCATTTCTGCCGTCCAATAATCCACTGACCTCATAAAGTAAAAATTCATTGCATATTTTTTACTCACCATACAGCGAGTAATCTTATTTAAAGTCGCAGTTTATAAATTCACAATCGATTAAACTTGCTGGTGCTGTGAGAATGGGTCCAGCACCAGCGTATCATCATTTACCTCTTTTCATTGAGCATCCCACTCAGCTGGTGTTATTTCACTATTGTTCATATGCAAAAGTCGTTTCACATTGTTTCATTTACACTAGTTTTCTCTTTGTGAATGGCCCAATAAACTTTCATTCACACCTTTGGGAAAGTTTAGAAGACATCTCCCCCTCAGCAGATCTCCATTTGTTGGTTAAACTGGGAACAAACTCAGGGGATATATCATATAAATAGGAAACGACAAGCCCGGAGTTTGCATTTTTATTCATCATATTTGATTTAATTTCATTTTCTTCAACTTTTGCAAACAGCCTACGATAACCTTCTATAAAAAATTGTTTATAACCATCCGCTTTGAACCTCTCTTTTTCATTTTACTCCTTTAGCCAGTGAATTTCCACCATAATTCATTTAATTCTTCCTGATAAAGTTCTTCAGGCAATTTTCCCCTTTCTGCGTTTCATCTTCGTTGATTCGGAGAAGACCAACTTTATACCTCTGAAGTAAATTCGAATAGGGTAACTCTTCTTCTCGTCGATTCTCGTCGATATTCCATCAGACATCGACTGAAAGAGTTGTGCAATGCTGAGTGCACCAGGATAAGAGCAAATATTTGGTGGGTGACCTCGATGAGTCTACAAATATTTTCGGTATCACAAATAGAAAGTAGAAAAATATGAGAGTGAGGGACACACAATTTAAAAGGTTTTCTTTATGTTTATGAAACTGTGATTGACAACTTAGTGAATTAGTGATGTACAGTAATTAAAAGCGACTTTTCCTACGGGAATATTGAAAACAGATGAAGTGCTTTTATATTCTAGTAGAAATATCCATTATAATGATGATCATTCCTATTGGTATTCAATCGACTGCAATCGAAGTAATCATAAATTTTCTAGTTATTGTTGACAGTTCAAGAAAATCGAATTCTTTCATAACTTCAAATGATATACACACAAAAAAAACTAAACGTAATTTACGCTTAACGTTAATATGATGTCTGGCGGCTTTTCTCCGTCATGAAAAACAGAATTTGGGCTTTAAAAAAGTTTACGGTCAAACTAAAAACGTAAATTACGCCTAAAGAGAGCGTATTTTACGATTTTTTATGCGTAATTTGCGAAAAAAAACATTGTTTTGCGCTTGAAATTGCTTTTTTTCACATTAAGTCATGCGTCATTTCAAATCAGTTTTTGTATATAGTATTAGTCACGTAATATAATGAGTTGAATGGATTTCTTTTCACAATGAGTCGTCTCGCCATATTTTGAAATTAACAGAGATTGTTGTATGCAAAGCTAAAAATTCTAGATAGGCTCGAACCCCTGCTTGTTTTTCTCCTGAATATAATTTAACGTCGCCCTTCCGATAATTACTACGAAATTGTCCATGAAGCTTCATTTTTTTTCCAACTATTCCGATTCATCTGTCCAACCTTTTGAACCCAATTTTTTGTATTAATCCACAATATGAAAAATCCCTCTGAAACAATCAGGAAAATTCGAACAACACGTTGAAGTCCGATAATCGAATATTCCAAGTAATTGGAGGTAATAATCCCTCAATGAATAGTTATGAAGTCTTTAATAAAATATTTGACAAGAGGGGAATGTCGAGATGAAGATTTTCATGGATATTATCGATGCTATCGGAGTCTTCGATAATCTCCCGGAGGCTCGGATTCATCGAACTTTACATCATAGGCAAATACCTGTCCGTATCTTGATGTATCGAAATGGTATCCCACATTGCATCGTACTCCTTATATTCGGGAATACGAAATCCCATCAGATATTTTATCACATTCAGTGCCCGTTGAAGCCCAAAGAAATTTGAACATTCAATAGAATTTCAGGAGAATCAAAAATGATGAGAAATTGTAGAAGAACTTTTTCTCAGACGAGAGATATTTCTCCTTGAGCGGGAAATTTCGGCTCAAACAGTGTCGGCAAATTGAACATATTCAGAGAATGAAAGTAACCGGAAACAGGATGGATCACAGGAAGAATGGATGGATCATCGACATTGTCTCATCTCCAAGAATTTTTTGAAGAGATTGGCACCATCTGCACTCGATTCAACTTTATCCAGTTCAATGCGAAGTTCCTGACAACTCTCCTCTTTCAATCCATCGATCTGTATATTTTTTGTTTCAGAAAATCCAGCCGGGTGGCTAGGTAGTACCTGTTAGCCATTACCAATGCACTTCATTGTTCGACATTGAATGGACCATCAATTCTGCCGCGGTAACCACCGCAGAGTACATGAGAATAAAATGAGACGCGTGTTGCTTGCATTGTTGGCACTATCGTGACAATAACGTGGCCTCGAGCTCCTTGACGATTCTCATTTTTGTACTGGGGAGGTTTTGCTTCCGAATGGCACGAACCCACAATCGGCAACAGACAAGATTTTGAACGAAATACCGAAAAATGGAAATATCTCGGAAACTTTGTATGAAAGGGAATGCATATTTTGACTGATTGAAATAGAAGACATCAAGACAAATATTTTGAAAAAAAATTAAAATCGGTTGAGTAGTTTTTGAGTGATTTGCGAAAAACGATTTAGAAACAAATGGCGATTTCCCCAAAACGGCTGGATCAATTGGATTGAAATTGTGCACAGAGTTAGTTCTCATTAATACCTATCCGACAAAATTTCAGATTTTTTGGAATTATTTTAGCCCTTTGATTATTCAATTTTCTACAAGTTGACCACCAGGTGGATACCCTCACATACACACAAAGTCGTCAAACTTCGTGTTTTTACATTGCAGACCATTCTACATTATTTCCAATCAAAATTAGAGAATCTAAAAGAGATCGATTTTAATGCATCACTGTTAGAAAATTACTCTTGAAATTTCAAGTGAAAAAGCTTGAAATTTTTAACAACGACAAAGTTCCATGAAATTTCTTTTGAATTCTTCATTGACGAATCAATTAATTTCTTGAATATTCAAATAAGTCTCGATTTTCAATTCCATACGGCACTGGAAAACCTTGAAAATTTTGAAAATTCAGGCAATAACTTCTCTGAATTTTCAATCTATTGAAAATTGAATTGTATGTGATGTTCAATTTTCACGATGACTTTGGAAATTCAAGGTTTCATTGAAAAATCAATAATTCTTCAACATGAAAAACCCAATTTTCTTGAATTTTCAAGATGCATGAGAAATTTAGTGAACGTTTTCATTTGAAATTGAATTCAAACTCACAACATTGAAAATTCAGATGATATTGTGACTGAAATTTCAAGAAATTTCTAACAGTGTTCCATTCGGAAACAAAAAATAATCATTGTGGATCTCTCTCTTGTGTTTCAGCAGCTCCATTCAGAGTACAGGAGCACCTACACATGGCACGAGTACACAGGACCCCATCAAGAGCACACGGTTGTACGGCGAGCGCCCCAGGCCCAGCCGACTTCCAGTAAGTTCGTTCTGAGACCTCTTCTTTATATCCTACCTTTGATTTCTTTCCTTCGAAAGAACAATACAGTGGAAAAAATGAACATTGAGCAAAAGATGAATTTTAACATAGACAGAGACCACTGTACAGAAGATAATGTGGGTAAAAATATATATTATCCTCATGATCGTCATCAAAGTTCAAAGGGGCACCGTCGGTCGATGTCACAATCTTCTTTTATACTCATCATCAAACACATCTCCGGTTACTCTTCATATTTGGTTCTATTTGATTTCCTATTTACCTTTGTGCTTTTTGTGTTATCCTTGTTTAAGGTATATTCCTAGAAAACACGTTTTCCTTAAGATTGTCCACATGTTTTTCATAGTTAATGTTTATAATAGTCTCCAGCTATTGAAAAATATACTGACTAGCTGTACTACACTTTAGGAGATAATAAATAATGAAAGCCGGGCTTCTAACACGCGAGGCATAGGCCAAACGGGGGTTATGGTTCCCCCGAACTTGATTTATCTCGTAAAACCATTTCTTATTTGATTCAAACAGATATTGTTGCCTGCATCAACAACACGTGAGGATAGAAAAAGTCAATAACAGATGAGAATGCAATAAATTAAATCATTTAGTATTAAACCGACCGCAATGATTGGGTGAGTTAGGTATTGCCCCGGCGTGCATCCGAGTGCAGCTGCGTTTAGCGCGGTTAAGGGGTAACGGAACCGACCACAAAAAGACGTTTACCAAAAACAAGTTTTCTTGGATTCTATGCAATGAGAATCAATGAAACTTTTCCCCCGTATTGAGAGTAGCGGAACGCATCGCTCTCTTCTCATGCTTTTCTTATTTATGCAAAAAAAATTGCAAATTATTCAACGGCAAGGACCAGGGCAAGGCCGACGCCATTTTATTTGTAGGAATCTGCCAAGTCATGGTAGAAAAACCGATTTTTTGCAGATTTTTCTTAGCCGATGGCTATTTTTATGTGAAGATAGCGATCAAGTGAGGTCCAAGACAGAGATTTTCAGTACAAAAACGTACTTTTGTTGCGTAATTTTCGTAAAAACTTGTTTATGATGATTGGGTGGTATCCAGGAGGTAACATGTCCTTTACAGGGCACCAATTGTTAGAGGGACTTTTACGAGTCAGATGATGTACAATGTTTCCATACCATTAATATTTATTTATATCCATTTATTTATATTTTATGGGATTTTGTACTTTTCACGTACAAAATCCAAAAAACCACGGGAACCTGCAATACCCATAGGGGGGACCCCTAACCTCTGCGTGCGACGGGTTCCGTTACCCCTTAATACTTGGATGGGCGACAGCTCAGGAACCCCCTCACCCAAAAATTTCGGAAGGTAAACACGGGGTAGTGGCCTAATGTGCCCCTCTAGTCAGTGTGACAGAAGGGTACATTAGGACTCTGCACAGTCGGCCGGCTGTACGAATGGGGCTTTCCGTGGTTTCCCGTGCAGTCCTAGCCCGAATGGGGTACAGTTAAGAGTAAGACGGCCCATGGTAACGCCGATAAAAATCAGGAGAGAAGTGGGAGAGGCAAGGCAGACGAATGGGGAGCCTGTAAAACCGTAATGGTAGTAAGAAAGAAATAGGAATAATCATTTAGAATTTTTTAAAGAAATCCATAGGGACTAACTTTTGGATCCGATTGTCTTGGGATATACCTTCTAATATTAAAATACGGGTTGTCCGCATCGATCGACGACCACAATCCACCCGTTTTATCTAGTTTACTGAGAACGTTTTTACGACTTTTTCTTTATTCGTTTTTTACTGATGTAACACGATTAAAGGTTAATGAGAGATAGTTGGTTTCTTTTGGTTTTAGAAGTGTTAATAGTCGTTTTATTCTTGGTCGTGCCTACACCTCGTGAACGTCTACACGTGTGATGATTTTTTTTTCATTTGATTTATGAGATTTATGAGATCATGTAATAATACGCACTTTTTTCGTTTTTTGTGAGTTTCAAAGGGCTGATAACTGTTGTTGAGCGATATGGGGGAATTTTGGAAATGCTTGGTGATTACATCGAATTCACGATTTTTGGGATTTCAACGTCTGCTATCGGTTATTTTACAATTTGATATGTTTTCAAATAATCGAACTGACCTTGTTCAAATAAAGTTTTTGGGTTCCATATTATTGCAGTCACTGACGTCATTAGGGGAAATGTATAAGATGCAAGCCTACGTTAATGAGAAAAGATATTCGAAGAATATGCATGCAGAGAAATCATACATTTGAATCAAATGAAAAGCTGTATTTGAAGTTATTCTACTCATTTACACAATACTGGGACTGGGAATGAATAAACTTATTAATTTATTCCGATGACAATATTTTAATAATCTGAAACAAATGATTAATTCCTTTTAAATGGAGGATTATTACATGTAAATAGATTCGTTTTTTTCAAGTCTAAACAATGATGGCATTCCTAACACACAAAATCCTCATTTGATTCAAGAAAATATTTTTTTATATTAAGAAAACAACGTTTCATTCGATATGTCTGAACAACGGAGTTAAAGTTTGGGTCCAGCTTTATTATGAGCTATTTGAATAAATCCATTCATTCGATTCAAATAAAATTCATTGAATTCAAATCCATCCCTCTCCTTCCTGCCATGTTTTTACTACATGAAAAAATAGTATATTTCGTCATTAGGCCGAAAAAAAATTTTCTGGTCAATATGAGTTTGCAACCCGAGCCGAAGGCGAGAGTGTTGCAATCATATGGTTAGAAAAGTTTTTTTAGGCTGTGTGACGAACAATATTTTTTCCGTGAAAAACTATCGCTACACGTCCGTGAATCACGGCTTACAGTCGTTATGACAAAAAATATCCTCAAGTTAATTACAATTTATTTCAAAATTACACAAATTGAGGAAATGATAGTCCTTCATCCATCATTTGCTCATTTGAGTTCTCCCTATCATTCTCATATTTTTCCCCCTATAATTTCACAGACAAATTCTGGTGTCAGTATCGGAAAAAGAGCGCAATTTATCGGCTACGGAAATTTCTAATGCTGTTGCGCGAAATTTCTGGCTAGTTCTTTTTTCTCCTCATGCAGGCGCGCGTAGTGGGGGTATACGGATTCCCGGAATTCCACTCTCCTACTGTCCCTAAGGTATCTTATACAAGGCCTTGACTGTATTTCCCATGATTTCTGTGATTGCAGTAACTAGTATCATATTTCAAGTAAATTCCAGCTGCACGACTGGAGACCGCAATAGTTATGAGCCCCTCATCGCAATGTTCACACGTAAATTCTGTGATTGATCGAAGTAAGGAGATAAGTCAATTTTGACTGAGTTAATTGAATATTTTTCTCGTGCAAACTATTTTATTATGAAATTTCTCGTGAATTGTATTTATTCTAAAAACTGGTATTCTGTATTAAAATTTGATTCTCCTACTTTCCAACTCGACTAAACTTATCTTTTTCCTCCTTGATTGCAGAATTGCATCAATCGTAATCTAATCACCATTGTTTCTTTGAGTTTCAATGTTGGTTCTCTGTGTATCTTCTGTTTTTTTAGTTACAAACACTGTTGTTATGTACGAGGAAGTATGTTTGAATGCGTCATAAAGGAAGGGGCGGAGGGAAAAGGTCTAAAACTGTGGCTGATTATGTTGGAGTTTAGAGCATACGTTGGGAAAATTTCCAAGCTAAAATGGAGATGTCGTGAAGTGTATACCCTCTGTAACGACACCATCGCGTGTACCGCGAATATGCCCCTGAAATATGGGACTAAAAGGGGCTTACTTGGAAGCCCCTATGTATTACTCTGTTTCGTGTATACTGTATAAAGTATTCCGATTGGCCGCATGCACGGAAATACATGGAGAATCCAGCGCATTTCCCCCTGACTTGCCACTGCGGATCCCATAAATCCTCGTTTTTTTCCGCCCCCTTCCTCTTCCCCTTGCCTTCTAATTTTTCGTTTAGTGCTGTTTACGGAGGAGGGTTTTTGATTGGTGAGGGAATGCGCTGGATCTTTTGAAGATTTCTGTGTTAAGGGGTAACGGAAGCGGTTGCAAAAGTTGTTTTTTTTTTCAATTAATTTTTCTCCGATTCTATCCAATATGAATGGCTGAAATTTTAACCAAGTATTAAGGGGAGGTTAAGGAATGGCTTACCCGGTTCCATAGACAATTTAGTGTCTATAAAATAAATGCAATAAATAGTCAGTGGAACCCGTTAAGTCCTTCCTTAACGTCCCCTCAATACTTGGTTGAAATTTCAGCCATTCATATTGGATAGAATCGGACAAAAATTAAATGAAAAAAAAACAATTTTGGGACCGCTTCCGTTATCTCTTAAGGGAAAACGGAACCCCTTTGTCTACAAGAATTTTTAGAATTGTGTTTTCTCCTACAATTATTAATTTTTATCTATGAAAATACTTTATCGACTCGATCATTGCATTGTTGAGTCAATGAAGTAGTTTGATAAATAAAAAATGATAATTGCAGGATAAAACACCATTCTAAAAGTTCATATAGACACAGGGGTTCCGTTTCCCCTTAATGAAGATATATATTATGTTTCGTTAATTGTTTTTAGTTCATACTCGCGTTAGAATGTTTAACCCTCTACAGGTACAACTTTTAGGCGCTCCTGCGGATACACTGAGGAGGTTCGTCACCCCACCCCTATTGCTACCGCCACTTTCCATTAGAACCACAACGAAATATTATATTTTTATGATGACGTTTCCTGAACAGATTTATATCCGTACACAGAAAGAAAAATATTAGAATTTTTGTCGTTGAATTCTAAGAAAAATTCTGGTGCTCGGCGAACAATCGGGACACAAAATCTCGCAAGGAATAAGAAATATTACGTAGCACATGTAACATTCTACGAGAGCACATGAACATTTCTGGGCCTGGTGCTTAGAGTATATACTAGGGTATACGTGAAAATTTGATACCGAGGGGCGTTCATTTGTGAAATCACGGCGTCACTCAGAACTGAAATCGTATGAAATCAGTTGAAATGAAGTGAATCCCGAGTCGAATAATTGGACCTGACAAGTTCTACTTAGGTCTTTCCGTTCAGAACTGGATAGGTCTTGGGAAGCCTCTTCCCAAGTGCTTCCGAACCTTTCTACCTCTGGTTACGTCCCATTTCAGCACTTTTTAGGTGTAAGCAGGACTTGTTCATCCGTTTCATTCGTTCACCCGGCTAAAAAATTCGATTTTGGTGCAAGTCGACTTTCCCCCTGGAAAACGGAAAATCTGACCCTTTGAAAATCTGGAAAAAAACACTTTTTCCACATACTTTTGATAGTTCTGAATAGCCCGTCGCTTAAATAGTTGGAATCAACGTTCCCCCGGCTAAAAAATTCGATTTTGGCGAAAAATCCAAGATCTGACACTTTGACCCTTGTGACCCTTGGACCGACTTTCCCCCCGGAAAAATCCAAGATCCGACACTTTGGCCTCCGATGAAAAAAATTGTTTTTCATTTTTCACTTTTTCCACATACTTTTGATAGTTCTGAATAGCCCGTCGCTTAAATAGTTGGAATCAACGTTCCCCCGGCTAAAAAATTCGATTTTGGCGAAAGTCGACTTTCCCCCTGGAAAACGGAAAATCTGACCCTTTGAAAATCTGGAAAAAAACACTTTTTCATTTTTCACTTTTTCCACATACTTTTGATAGTTCTGAATAGCCCGTCGCTTAAATAGTTGGAATCAACGTTCACCCGGCTAAAAAATTCGATTTTGGCGAAAATCCACTTGCCCCGGAAAACCCGAAAATCTGACCCTTTGGCTGGGGCCAAAAAAAACGGTTTCTCAGTTTTCACTTTTTCCACATACTTTTGACAGTTCTGACTAGCCCGGCGCTTAAATAGTTGGAATCAACGTTCACCCGGCTAAAAAATTCGATTTTGGCGAAAGTCGACTTTCCCCTTGGAAAAATTCAAGATCTGAGCCTTTGGCTCCGGGTGAACAAAATTTTTTTTCAGTTTTCACTTTTTCCACATCCTTTTGAGAGTTCTGAATAGCCCGTCGCTTAAATAGTTGGAATCAACGTTCACCCGGCTAAAAAATTCGATTTTGGCGAAAGTCGACTTTCCCCCGGGAAAAACCGAAAATCTAACCCTTTGGCTCCGGGTGAAAAACAATTTTTTTTAGTTTTCACTTTTCCCACATACTTTTGAGAGTTCTGAATAGCCCGTCGCTTAAATAGTTCGAATCAACACTCGCCCGACTAAAAAATTCGATTTTGGCGAAAGTCGACTTTCCCTCTGGAAAAACAGAAAATCTGACTCTTTGGCTCGGGGTGAAAAAAAAAATTTTATTTCGACTTTTGTCGCGCCTTCGGAGGTTTCATTAGCATCAGAATTGTTAGAAAATACAGAATCAACTTTCACTGGGTGAAAAAATTCAATTTTGGCGAAAGTCGACTTTCACCCTTGACCCACGTGAAAATGAAAATTTTTTTTCCCCTTTTCTGTCACCTCCGAGGGTTTCATTGGCATCAGGGGGTCAATAAATACAGAATCAACGTTCACTATTTTTTATTTAAACACCGCCTCGCCTTCGGCTCGGACGCCAACTCCACGCGAGTAAAAAACCCCATGGCACTCGCCCTGAAATATAGAATTCACTTTCGGCTCGTCCTGCAACCATATATGCAACCATGCACCAGAAAAATGTTCTTCGACACAATGACGAAAAATACTATGTCACTAATTCGAAATAGTATTTTTCGTCACGATAGCCGTGAAGGGCTTCTTCGCACGCGTTGCAAAAACAAAAAGAGAAGAAGAGAATGGTAGAATAAGAATTTAAAAAAAGAGGAAGAATCCATTCGGAAACAAATTGCTAATTTATTAGTAACAATAACAATACTGATTTACAAATAATGTAATTATCCACTTGTTCCTCTCAGTATAAGATTGAAATTTCCGCAGCAATTCAAAGAAAAATTCGTTTAAGAATGCATTATACCCCCTTAACGTCAATTTTCATTTTTGGCAAACTGTTGATCGGACTGAGGCGAAAAATATACTATTTTGTAAAAACAATTCAAACGTTTTGTTCTTGAGAGTTTCATGAATTTTCCAAAAGTTTAGAAAAGCATAGAAAAATGGTTGCACGATGAAACCTCAATACAGAAAGAGTCAATAGATCCTCCAACAGAAAAATGTAAAAAATCTGAAAAAAAATCGGTTTTTTATTTTTTATTATTATTATTTATTAAAATTTATTTAAAAAGTTTGTAATTTCCTTTCTGTTGAACTTATTTAAAAAAAAATTGAACGGTGTTTGCACGTACAGACTTCACACTCCAAATTGAGGATTGAATGATGTTGATTTCTCAATGGAATAAATTATTGTGAATCCTAAAAAAAAAGAAAATTCTGGCCTAGATCTACACCTTAACGCAAAACTGAGATCTCAACTGGGCCAATAATACTCAGAAACCTTTGAAGAAAATTACGGTGTTGGGTAAATGCCGCGGTGTTTATTTATATAAGAATTACAATCAAGAAAAAAAGGAGTGCGGTGATGAGTAACCCCAGTGTAGCCGTGGAGGGTATAAGTTCATCTCGAAGGTAGACATTTGTTTTAATTAAGTTTCTACTGTTTTTCTGTTCAATTATGGGATTTTCTGAGTGAAACAAGATTTTCAACATTCTGGCGATTTTTTTTGGTTTTATGCACTGATAGAATTTTTTTCATCAAAATCATTCCAATATTTCGAGCGGATTTATCGATGTTTGAAATGTGAGTTTGACGTTATACTCTATTTGATTATGAAAATTGGTAGCGAGTACCAATGTTCAATCAGCTGTTGTGCTGAATTTTCGGTAAACTTTGAATTTCCGATTTATTATTGAACTTTGGGTGTTCATCAAATAGTACATTCCATGTCAACCCCGGTACATTTTCATTTTCGGCTAGTCGCTTTTGCATACGATCATTTTAGTCGAAAATTCCCAAACTAATTTTAAATCATGAATAAGTATATTCGGTTATAATACCCCGAGAGCTTCAAAAAGATCGGGTATTTGCCGACAACTTCGTTGCATACAAACGAATATGTCAAGTTTCGAAGGTTAAAAAAATTCCGAGCGCTTGCGGGAGGGATTTTTCCTGCGAAACTTGACGCATTCGTTTGTATGCAGGGAAATTTGAAGGAAATACTCCGATTCATTTTGAAGCTCGAGGGGTTTTCGACGGATTATTTCCCCCATCACCATTTCGATAATAGAATTGTGGTATTCGGCGTTATCGTGGTAAATTCGACAATTTTTTTTTATTCTGCTTGGCAACGGAAAAATTACTGAACGACGGGGTATTATCAGCTATAATACCCCAAGACCTTCAGAATTATCGGATATTTCCCGAATGTTTTGTTGCATAGCAACGAGAGGGATCAGTTTTACTGCAAAACTGATCCCGATGGTTGATATGCAGGAAAACTTGAGGGAAATAGCCGATGAATTTTGAAGGTCNTTTATTCTGCTTGGCAACGGAAAAATTACTGAACGACGGGGTATTATCAGCTATAATACCCCAAGACCTTCAGAATTATCGGATATTTCCCGAATGTTTTGTTGCATAGCAACGAGAGGGATCAGTTTTACTGCAAAACTGATCCCGATGGTTGATATGCAGGAAAACTTGAGGGAAATAGCCGATGAATTTTGAAGGTCGAGGGGTATTCGGAGGACAATGTCTTCAATTCTGATTTTGGCCGATCAGGGTGCAGTGTTCGGGGTTACGGGACACATTTCACCAAAATGTGAGGAATATCTGTCAAATTCGTAGAAAACAATTAACAGGCTACACGGAAATTATCAGTCTGATAATTTCCCTGCAGCCGGGGAAATTATCAGTGCGAAACGCGTCACGTGACCCCGAATACTGCACTCTAATTGGTCAAAATCAGAATTGAGGAAATTGTCGATATAATTCTGTTCTGATTGGACCACGGGACATCGAGTTCCGCAATTCTATTGTTCGGAAGGGTGATGGGGGAAATAATCCATAAAATTTTAGTATTCGGTAACTTATGTCAAATTAGGTTTAAACTTAAGATGAAACCTTCGGAATATACTCAGAAAGTACAATCAGATGACCTTAAACGCTACACATTTGATCTGTCACAGCCATCTCTCATCGGATTTGCGTCTTGAGAAATCAAATTAGTACGTTCAAAAGAAACGGGGTGATGTAGCTTCAGTATGAATGAAAAAATTTAGCTCACAATGTCATGAATAAATTGTTAAAAGAATAATTGCTCGCCTTCGGTGATTAACATGACTTTATCTAGCCATTGGCACAAAAATAGTACCTATTTGTGAGTCAACTGCGAAGTGTAGAGAGATATGACGTCATTATCTCCTTCGCAGGGGATTTCTTGATAATTTTGATGAAATAAACGTAATGAGAAAATTGAAGAATTTTCCTCCTACGGAGGAGCTCTTTGCAGTCTAAACGATCCATTTCAATAATTTCTTCATTGAATGAAGTATTCTTGAATTACGGTTTTTCCCCGCGTAGTACATTTTTGATAGTGTTTTTTTTTCGTGTAAATGTTGAGTTTATGATCGACGACAATGCGCCGTCAACTATAATAGTTTGACAGATAGTAAAAGATAGCTAAGAATTATCATTATTGCTTTGTGGTGTGGAAATTTACTATTAAAAAATAGCGAGGGATTTGACATGGAAGGTTTTGAATTTTATCTTGAATAAATTCAACTCAATAGATTAAAAAAGAAATATTGTGTGATTATTACAATAAAATAGGGGGAAAAAATTCTTTCAGTGTAATTTGATTTTCTCGTTGAATTCGATTTTCTTGACTGCTCTAATGATTCATTTAACGGGCTTGAGAGTCAAGAAGAAATGTTGAAAAAAACTTTCCAAGAGTCGAAATCGTGCCAGCTGCGAATTTTGATTGCAGCGAAGCAACCGAGCGCGAAGCTACAATCGACCAAGTCAACCGAGGATGAGAACACCGAAGGTAAGAAGAGACGTTACGAACGGTGCTACGCAAACCAAGCTCTTTATAATGTTTTATTGGTTAACAATTACATATAATTTTATTGTGTTAAATCGATATTGTTCTCCTTTCTTGATTTTCAATTACATATACTATGTTTTGTACCTTTTGTAAATGTACATAATTACGATCACGAACGTAAGAAAATGAATCGTACGAAATAAATAATGTACACATGCTTTAGCTGCCTGTTTCAGAACTGAACATTTGTTGTTTGATTAGCTGATTTGTATTGAATTTTTGGTTGCCCTAGTGAAAATACTTCAACATCAGAGAAGCACGTCAGGATTCCACGAAAGGTCTTTAATCACCCCACAACTTCACCCACATTCCCCCTCTAAGCTCTTCACATTTTTTTGTAATCATAACGTGCGCATTCTTATGTCCACTTCGTTGCGTGACTCCTCGACAAATGGGGAGGGAAGTCGCATGCCTGGCGCAGTTGGAGTTCCGATTCCCCAAAATCGATAGCATAATCGTTACTTCATGGTCACATTCTCTGAAAAGGGAACGGGCTGCCGAAAAAGCTCAAAAAAGCTCGACTCGTTTGAGAACTTGGTGAGATTGAAGGTTGTAAGTAGTATCATTCCAGAAATCCTACGTCGATACACAGTGACAAATCTTTGACGACAATTATTTTGATTGAATGGATAAAGATTACCTAAAAAACGGAGATCGTCCGGCAGAATGGAAATGTGGGGTCAGATGCTAGTTTAGAAAATGCTGATGTATCCAACTCGACTCCCATGATTTCTATAATTTAGTATGAAATACCTCAAGAAAAATAATAACTTATGGATGATAACCCAGTGAGAGTAAAGCATGTGTTTGATGAGAAAACGTTTTTGCGAGTGAATTTCACATTTTTACTGATTTATTGTATTTTGAGATACTGAAGAGTTGATGAGAATGAATATCAAATAAGTCTACAAGACCTGGAAATTTATACTATTTTGAGTTTAAAAGGTTTCTGGACTTGAAAACTTGTAATTAACCCTTAAGGGGAGACTACTGTGAGTTTCAAAAGTCGTGGGTTATTGGAGTGAGACTTTTCATACGTTGAAGATCGATTATACAGATTTGAAAACGATTAATTAGTGCAAAAAAATTTTTTTTCCATTGTCCGTTTGCCCGAAAACGCTTAAATGCCAAAAACAGTCCAGGGCCTCCTGTTTTGGAGCTACGAAGGATTTTTTTTTTTCAAAATTTTCGGAAAAATATATGGAATAACAATTACGAGCTAGTTTTTTTAAATTCGCCTCTTACATGGCTAAATTTGCTTTTTTTCTATTTTTTACACAAATAGTGAATTTTTTTATATGAAAAAAACCGAAGTCAGCTGTGTAGGAGTCGAATTCCAAAAAAATGGTTCGTAATTGTTGTTCCACATATTGTTCCGAAAATTTTGAAAAAAAAAAATCTTTTGTAGCTCAAAAATTGGAGGCCCTAGACTGTTTTTAGCATTTTAAGGATTTTCGGGCAAACGAACAATAAAAAAAAATTTTTTTCGCACTAATTATTCGTTTTCAGATCTATATAATCGATCTTTGATGAAACAAATAATCATCAAACACCACAATCTGTACTCATTTTACGTTAATATGTTTCTTTTTCTATTCATTATAAATCAAACTGTACTATTTTTCCCCTCTGATGCTAGAAAAGTGCGACCACTTGAGGGTTAAGGGTAGTGATCCCGGCGAGAGACTTCACAAGATATCACGAGACAATACCTCGGTAGGGTTGTCTCGGTCTCATTGAACACGGAAATTCTTTGTCTCGTTTCAGCCTTGAAATACGGACTTGCGGAAATCTCGACTGGCGAATTTAATAATGAATTGAACATTCGGATCGATTTATAAGCCTCCCGCCAAGTTGATTTCTCCTCCATAATCGACTTATTTCCATTTATTTAACTTCATTTCATAAGAAATTAAATGGACAAATAATAAACCTCAAATGTGGCGGTTGAAATTCCACATGGTGATTCCACCTCAGACTATTGCCGTCATGAAATTCTTTATTTTCTTTACTTTATAACTTTTCTCAATTACTGGGAAAAAATAGTCTTTCATGAATCCAGAATGAAATTTCCTTGTCGCCCCAATGTCACTCATTGAACACTTCAATCTCATAAAGTTCTCGAACAAGAAAAATTGTTCTTTAGAATTAAGAAACAAGTTTCGCTCTCAAAAAAGTAGGAGAATCTGACGCATCCGCCAGCCTAAACATCTTTGAAACTCCTTGCGTCCCGTCTCCTAACGCGACTACACTTGACGTGCGTCTCAGATGTCGGCTGAAAGTTTTAGTATAGCCCGGTGCATGCGCTTAGATCTACATATTTTAAAGTACGGAGTGACGAGAAGAAGTAAAGTTTAAAATGACATCCCTTTATTCCAACGTCAAGAGTCATATAACTCATGAAATTTCCACGGTTATTTTTCCATTGAATAGAGGGTAATGTAAGCCTTAACTCGTCGCTCCTATACCTGACATTCAGTTTTTTATTTGTAAGAGTAGGTATAACGTAACACAATAGCAAGTGCTGTTGTAAATAATTTCGATCCGTCAATGTTGAGTTAGCTCCGATAGATGGGAGGGAGGGTTGACCGAGGTCGAGACGATGCCATCGATCCCTCGAGTCTTCCATAATTCTACTATTACCTTTTTTCCCCTCATTTTTCTGGAAACGATTGGACGAGGTCGAGGAGAAAATGTCGGTGGGGCGGGATAATACATGATGCAATGATGAGCAAAAAAGTATTTATTAAATACTAAATAATTAAATACTGCTCCTAAATATAACAGTATTTAGTATTTATTTATTTTTCTAAATATCGAACGAAAATAATCAGAATTCAATAAATTATCAATATAATAAATTCAATATATTAAATGACTGAGTATTCCAGAAATGGATTAGAAATCGTAAATTTCTGATGATTGATAACACAAACTTTCGAATCTACAAGCCTGGGAAGACGCAAGATGGCTTCACAAAGAAAACATTTTTTTATTTATTCAACGGGGCGGTTTCATTTGTGGAGGGAGGGTTTCACATAGGGGAGGGGTGTAATATAGGGATTCTATTGTAGGGGGGGGGGGTTAATAAGAGTCAAAAATATACAAGGATCAAAATTGACGGTCACGAGGATCGAGTGTGAGAGTAAAGAATGTTAGTCAGTTGTGTGGATAAAAAATATGGGTCACAACTGAGGGTCACAACGGTCTGGTGTGAGAGTGCGAAATACGGTTCAAAACGAAAGGTCACGAGCTTTGGGCATGAGGGTTAGAATTAAGAGCAGTAATAAGGTTCGAGATGAAGGTTCAAAGCAGCAGATCGCGAGGAACATTCAAATTTGCAATAAAATTCTAGGATCACAAGGATTGAGAATTTTACGGTCATAAGGGTCAAAATTGCTCAAGTAAAAAACGATAAGGAATTGCATGCAACGTCGAAATTTTCAGTCAAATTTTAGGGTCACAAGATTAAAAACTCAGGATCAGGATCAAAATTTTTTTTAATGGAAAAAAATAAGTGTGTCTGAAATGAGAATAGCATAGAACATCCAGATCTGCAAAAAAAATGTTGGCCCTCATGACCGTTGTGACCCTTTACTTTTATTTTTAAATCCCATGACTGACCCTTATGTCGAACCCTCACGCCCTCTGACTCATGATCTTTAGATTTGATCGATGTTTCTGACTTGAATTTTTGACAATGATAACGGCCCCTACACCTGACCCTTGTGACCCTTGCTTTTGACCTCCATGTTTGTGACGATTAATTTAAACTCTTATTTCTAAATCTTATTATTGTGTTCCTTATTTTTCTCCTCACATCTGCCGATCATTTTTTGCTGTTACATTTGAACCTCGTGACCCTTAGTTTCGAACCTTATTGCTGCTGTTAATTCTGACCCTCACGCCCTCCTGGCCTTTCATTGTAAACCGTATTTCGCACTCTCACACTCGACCCTCGTGACCCTCAGTTTTGATCCTTGTACATTTTTTACTCTTATCCTCCCCCCCTCCCGCCTCACAACAGATCCCTCATTTTATGACCTCCCCCCTTTGTAACAAAATTTCCATAGTTAAAAAAGAAACCATAAATACTAAATACTAAGGACTAAATATTTAAATGGATAAGTATTTAGTATTTAGAGGAGAGCTAAATATTAAATGACAGACTATTTAGTATTTAAGTTGGTATTTAAATAGAAAAGTATTTAGTTTTGCCCATCATTGACATGATGTATACATACATGTAATATGTCTACCTGGGGGCCGTTACTTGACGAGGTTGGCGGCTGATTGGGAGAGAGGGGAGTAAAGAGAATTGACGAGAGGGATCGAGATCGTTGGTTATTTCGCTTGAGAATAAGGGGATCGGGATCCCTCCATCCTGGCCTACACCAGAAAAAATTGCGCATTCCCAGTAGGGAATTTGCTCCTTCGAGTAGTTCGGGAGGTCGGGTTATTCATTGTGAATTGGTTTTAATTGCAGGGCCAACGCTGGAGCCACCATTACCGAGGAGGAAGAAGAATCCAGAGTTGGCTTACAGACATCATGAGTTCATCACTGCCGCCGATGGAGGCGGCATTGATGCGGTTGATACCAATGTTGTCGCTGATAAAGTTCGAGTGAGTTCTTTCAACGAATTGGAAAATTTACATTACACTTTTTCTGAGATTAAGAGTACTGTTACGTTATCCTGTTGGAAAACAGGCTGAAATGTGGCTAGTCCAATTCAATTGGAGATTTATAACGATACTGCGTTCTTGAATATCCCGAGTAGAAATTGCTTCCGGTCCACCTGCAGTACGATCAGAACTTGATCCAGTTTTCGTAAGATTCGACTGATCAGGTGATTTTTTATGAAAACCTGACCAAGTTGTGATCCAATGGATCGGATTCCAAAAACTGCAGGCGAGTTTAGATCAAGTTCTGGTCAGGCAGGTAGGATCAGGTAACGTGTGACGAGAACCTGGTCAAGTTTTGATTCAGTAGATCGGATCCCAAAATCTGGAGCGGGCTCAGATCTAATTCTGATCAGGTACACTGATAGAAAAGGTGGAACGATTCAGTTGCACCCAACGAGGCTTCTTAACTGTTACCGCGATTCGTTAATAGTTAATGAATCGTGGTAATAGTTAAAAAGTCTCGTTTGGCTCGACTAAACCGTTCTATAAGTGCAGTTGACAGTTGGTTGCAAAACGAGCATAGGATCAGTGCCATTTTCATTGTACCTATTCTTTTAATTGCCGATATTTCAGTGAAATATTAAGATATTACTATAACTTCTGCATTGTTATTAAATTTCAAACTATCCGAAACCTTAGTCAAAGGATTTTTAATTCCCTTTCACTATTATTACGGAGATATCAACATTTTTTAATTGTAAGTTTCTGAACTTGCGGCTTAAAATTCACTCTGTCGTGGCACCAGATGTGAATGGGATTTTTCTCGCTTATTCTTCAATAAATCACTGTTCATTGGTGTCGATAACTTTCCTTATTAACTAAAATAACAACTCCAATTGTATTTCACTCTTAATAGATTCTTGGGGGTGTCAAAATAATTAAAATGTGATAGATCGTGATGTCTAAAGGAGGATAGGGACAGGGACGAGCTTAGGTACATTTACCTTACTTTTAATTTTGTTTTCACAAAAGTGTTAAAATTCTATGAGTGCGTATGTAACAAACAGAATTAATTTGATAAAAGCAACCACTCGAAACACGCTCAACTAATACAAAATTTTCCATTATAAAGGAATTATTTTCAATCACAACGATAGGAATTCACCCTCATTTGAATTTCAAATTCAACGTGTTGTTCTACGTGAAATGAATGAAATTATAAATGCACAGTTTACTAACCCTTGAGCTGCAAAATGAAACATTCAGTCGTATCCAGGGTTGGGCAAGTAAAATACTTCACGTAAAATACTGAACATTTTATACGTATTATACCATGTATTTGACGTAAATTTTCAACGTGTATTATACCATGTATTTCACGTCAATTTTATACACTCGTACCCACTCCTCGCTCGAGTACCACTGCGCAGCCGTTAGGCCGCAGAACGCATGGCGCAACGTTTAAATCGTCACCCCATGTCACTCGCTCTGAAATATACTGCTCGCCAAGAAAGAATGATGTTCGGGTTTACCCCCACCACCTTCCCATTCGTATCCCTCAACATAGGAGTGGGAAGACTTCGGGCAAAAGCCGAACATCATTCTTTTTTGGCGAGGACTTTATACTATTTCGTCATTCCGGCCGTAAGGCAGCGATTTACGAAGGTGTAGCCTTCGGCCGGAATATCTTATCTAGCTCTTATGATTGCAACCCTCGCCTTCGGCTCGGGCTGCAAACTCATATGATAATTCACCCGCGGGTGAGAATGTCCTGTTTTCCTCCCATGGTGCACAATATACTATTCTAGCTCATATGATTGCAAATTCATGTTCGCCAGAAAAGTTTTTTGCTGCCTAATGACGAAATATACTATTCTCACGAGTGCTAGGGTTGCAGACCGAGGTGAAACCGAGGAATGCAATCACACGAATCAGAATAGTATATTTCGATACGAACAAAACGGAATTTTCACGAGCGTGAACTTGTCAATCAGACGAGCTGAAAATTCCCGTCTCACATGTGTCGAACAATATTTTTTGATAGTGATCTTACGTTCAGCGAGTGGCCGAACTGTGCCTTTTTCATTTACAAGTAAACGAAATAGTACATTACATGCCTGAGCCTTCGGCTCGGAAGGCAATCTTGCACGTGGGGGAGGATGATCTGTTTTCCATGGCGAGGTGTGTATATTAATTTTCGTGTCGAGGAACCTGCAAAACGCCAATTTGCAGGGATTTTTCAAAAAATGGGGTTTTTCAGCTCCCGTGACACGAAAAGACTTTTCGTTTCCTTTTCTTTTACGAGTAAACCAAAATGCACTTTTCGGCACGAGGTAAACGTAACAGCGTAACGTAACAGCAGTGTCAAAAACCTTTGTTTTGGTCGAGTGACAAACAATTTTCCTTCACAGTGTCCGCAAATGGCGTTTGACAGCCACGAAGTATTCGTAAAACGAAGTTTTACGGACAGTGTGATGAAAAAATCAAATCGCTACAGTACCACAATTAATGGGAATAGACATTCCTAATAACTTCAGACGAATTGTTTCAATCCTTGAAGACTTTCCAAAAATGAAACTCTGTTATTTCCACTTCAACATCTTCAATTTAATCTCCCAAATTAAATTGAATGCAAGCTCTTCAATCTTTCGATTCGTCTTCCATTCCATCCAAAAACCGAAGAAACTCATCCAATAGTTCTTTTTCTTCATCACTTCACCTCAATGTGTGAAATTTACGTGTTAAGTAGCTAAAGCCCCTTTCGGCCATCAAATTGTAACATCAAAGGCCCATCGACATGGATTCTACCCATCATTTGTTCTCAATGATTTCATCTCTGATAACAGGAAGTGACGGGCAGTTCAGCTCTACCGCCGAGTCAGCTGAGCAAAGCGATTTCACGGATAAGCACCGAGTATCGATTGCAGTTTGCCTGGCCAAGGCGAGCCCAGCTGACAAATGGTGAGACTGTGGCGCCAATACCAGCTGCTGGCGGTGCTGGTGGTCCACCAGGTGGGCCACGTAAATCCATGAGCATGGGTACTCTTAAACAGGGTATTGCACCAACTGAACCAGCGCCTGTTCACATGAGAAAGAGACCAGGCGATGTGGATCACAAGCGTGACGGTATATTTACTCGTATTAACTATTCTTTTTTTGTTCTTTCATGTACTGCTGCATCTTCAGGGGCTTCTCAATTTGTCAATGCCCTAATACTTACACTTGAACGATATATGGGCTTATTAGATTAGCATTTTGTTGGTCACTGATAAATTCATATCGACGTGGTGTATTTCTTTAGTTCTTATGCTTATGATTGATTTGGGGTTCATTTTTTAAAAGATTCTTCAGTACCAGGTTCAAATCCCATTATAGGCTCTTATATGATATTTCAGTAAAATTTAATTTAACTTTCGTCTCAACGCAAGACACTTATTTTTTTCTTCGTGTAAAACAATTTTAGTGACGGAAAATTATGAAATTATTATCAGAAACGAATACCTCACATCCAATTACTCAATATTCAATGTTTATCTGAAATTTCGTTCAATCGAGTCTTCAGGCCCATCATTCCAGTAGCAAAGAGGTCAGGCATCTAATTGCAAGTTGATTTCAGTACATACAAGACACTTTCAAATTTAGGAGGCCAGGCTATCTGAAAATGTTATCATCTACTCGTTTATTCATTTATCCATTTTTACCGAACATATTGAACTTAACATGTCTGAATTTAAGTCTCCATTCTGAATTGTCAGGGAACATTTTATAAATCAAAAAAAATTGAAAAATCTACTTTTTCGGAAAAATTAAAAAAATTACGGAAAAATTTCATTTTTTCAAGGTTTCGACCTTTTTTCTTGTTACGACGTCGTAATGCATTCGTGCGTATTCAGAATGTTACGAAACGTCGATTCCGTGGAAAAACATCAGATTTCCAGTAATTCAAGAAATTTCCGTTATTTCCCCACAAGCAGAGAACATTCAAAAATAAATGATTTTTTGCCGAGTTTGATTTGAATTGCAATCATTATTCATGCTTTTTCCGAATTATTGCCACTTATCTTAATTAAATTGCCGAATTTCATGACTGAACACTTTTTACTTGGAGATTTTCAAACCGATTGACCACTTTGCTACTGATTTTTGCTCGAAGAAACCCATTTGTTCCATCATGAGCGCTCGATCAATACTTGGTTCCCATCTTCCTCATTCAACTGCTCCCGTAATGTTTCCCTCATTCTGATTCGTAGGAATCCAGGCATCTGAACTCGAGCCACTATTCGGTAACAATGCTGATCACATTGATGGTGTAATGCCTGATGTCGACGAGAAAGACGAGGATTTGACTGATTTCAAGATATCCTTCAGGTCGGACAAATTTTCAAATTTATATTCTTTATGATTTTTCTTCCTTCAAACCAATCCGAAAAGATCAACTCCGACAGGACCCGAATAAAATCCCACCAAAAATACTTGTATTGAAAAAGGCAAATTCGAAATTGTCATTTGCAGGGAAAGAATGTCAGCGGGTAAGGGAGTGAAGATTGTAGATGATCGTGTAACGAAAAAAATCGATAAAGCTCCGTCGACTGTGAAAAATACGTTTCCAACGTCCGAGATTGTCGAGCTCAGACGTCTTGCTGATGAGTATAAGGTAACAGATTTTCTTTAGGGAGATTCGTCACCGAGAGTTTTACGATCCAATTTACATGTGAGCATTCTCATGAACCGAGAGAGGAGACAGTCAAATTCACTGGCTTCATCGACAAATACTGAATGGTTAGAGGGTGTTGCGTCGATGATTCTTGAATATCAATCATAAGCAGAAAAAAAATTCCTAAGACTGAGAATATTAGTATCAATTCAAACACAATTAATCGTGCATATTAGGGTGAAAAGGCCAATTGCTGGACGGTTTAGGAAAATTCAAGTTCCGTGGTAGCATCTAAAATAAAAGAATCACCTAAACGGGGCTATGATGGCTTGCATACCTATAACTATACCCCATGCCCCGATTATGGTCTCACATCGGAAAACGCTAGTTTAAATATTGTGTAGAGATTCAGTGAATAACTGATTTAAAAAGGGAGAGTTGAAAGAAAATAAAAAAATGAAAAATTGAAAAATTAAAAACCCCCGACGAAAAAGTTGTAAACTGATTGATTAAAAAAAAACTAAAAAATGGAAAAATAATAGTACATTAGAGTACAAGGGCACAAATTGCGTTTTCGACGAAAGCCGAGCCGAATTCTATTTACAGGAAGAGCCGAAGGCGAGGTCTGTACTCACATTCGTTGAAACCGAAGTTTATGCCCGAGTGATCTATAATCTTTTATGTCACACCGTGCAGATAAACTTGACTTATTGCATGGCGTGACATAACATAAAATAACTGAAAAAATTCAAAATGAAAGAAAAAACAAGAAAATCAGAAAACTGAAAAATTAAAAATTGAAAACTCTCGAAGAAAAAGTTGTAAGCTGACAGATTTACAGAGGGAGAAATGAAAAAAGAGAATTGGTATTCAATAAATTTACTTAACTCATTGACATAATTTGTCTGATTCATCAGCATCGTGACTGGGGTGGCGGTTTGGCGTCAGAGGAAGTCTCATCAATCTGGAAACACGTCTCCAATAATCACGCCCTCAGCGCTCTGTCACTTGCCAGGCCAGTAAACACAAACGTATACTCAGTGTTTTCCACTCATTCCTCTCCACTCTCAAAAAAATACAACCAAGATTGTAATTGAATTATCAGACACATTCACACGAATCGTCTCCCGAATCCACGAATGCATCAATGGATTTTGTGAATTGTCAAATAAATTTCAGCACCGGAAGCCATCATAATGAATAAATTTCAGCACCTTCACTTCGGGTTCTGTCGTAGTTGTTCTGTTCCGTCTCTCGTCGTTTGCCTCCTCGTTACAGAGATTTTGCACTGCAAATCTCAGCTGTTTGTTTTGATTTCTCTCCCACAGATCAGTGACGAAGGAGGAGAAGGAGAAGGAAAACACCAGAAAAGTTGCACCAATTACAAATGCGATGCCACCAGCTGGTAGACCCTCCTCCGTTCAGGCCAGACCTATTTCCGGAATTCTTCAAGAAGCGGTGTGTAATTACTGAATTAATTTACAAGAATTAACACAAGTGTTAAACTTGAAGGAGACATTTTTTTCTCATTAAAACGTAAAAATCTAATTAACTTGATTATATTCTCCAGGATAATGAGAGAGCTATGGCTCGCGCAAGAAAGGATTTCTTGATCCGCCATCATCTGGACCGTACTACAGGTGTTGGTGAGTTCATTAAAAAAATAGTGGAGAGTATTAAGTGCTCTCAACGAATGGAAAATCCCAAAGAAATTCCATCAAGAAACTCCCAGAAGATTAACATCAACATAATCATTAAAATCCAGGTGACGGTGCACTGTTACCTTCTCCAACAAGAGAGAAGCTTGAGCCAGTGTTACCCCGTCGTCGTGACGAGGCTAAGGACGAGATTCAGCCGAGAACAAAATCGAGCCCCAAGAATAGCCCGAGGACTGGACGCTCACAGAGCCTTGGTCCCCTCAGTAGGTCACCAAAACGTCAAACCCCCCGAGCACCATCAGTCAGCAAAGATGCCAAGGTAGGAAATTCCATTCATTCTGCACAGAGTTGAACAAAATACCATTTGAATTGCTAATGACAATGTTCATGGCTAATTGTCCTTTCAAAATCATCAAATGTAGCAAATAGAACATTATTTCAATAGTTTGATTCCGAAAAATGCGATTTAAAATGGATAGCATTGATAGGTACAGCATTTATTTCCATTAATTTGAAACCGATTGAAATTTCATGGACAATTTAGGAATAATCGTCGGGAGAGTGCCATTGAATTCGATTTGACGGAAAAATATCATGAAATTTAAGCCGACCGTAATGGTTGGGGGAGTGTTGCTCCAGCGGACATCCGAGGGCAGCTGCGTTTAGCGCAGTTGATACTTGGAGGGGTGACCGCTTAGGAACACCCTCGCCCAAAAATATCGGAAGGTAGGCACGGTATAGTGACCTAATGTGCCCCTCTAGTCAGTGTGACTGACTAGATTTTTACATTAAAGAAGGGAATTTATATAGCGTTCCACATCTTTGTGACGTCATAGGAAATTATTGGAGGGTACAGTAGGGCTCTGCACAATCGGCCGGCTGTACGACTGGGGTTTTCCATGGTTTCCCATGCAGTCCTAGCCCGAATGGGGTACAGTTAAGAGTAAGACGGCCCATGGTAACGCAGATAAAAATCAGAAGAGAGAAGAGGGAGAGGCAAGGCAGACGAATGGGGAGCATATAAAACCGTAATGGTAGTAGGAAAGAAATATGAATAAAAAAATATGATGAAATTTCCAATTTTCGACCAGGAGAAACACAAGAATTTCCTAACTCACTTGAATTTTTCATAAAAGCGTGAATATTCAGTACCAAATTACGCGGAATTTTCAATTAATTGGAAATTCAGATATATATTCACTTTAATTCCCCTGATTTTTAACAATTGCCATGGAATAAAAAAAATGACATTCAGAGTTCCCACTGATTTTTTCATCAAATTGTGTGTTTGCAATGACGAAGTTCCTTGAAATTTCAGTGTAACTGCCACTTGCTAATAAATTTTCAAGGATGGTATTGGGAATATCGGACAAAAATTCTCAACAGTGGAAAATAAAGATGTTATTTTGCGTTGGGAGAACAATTCTTTGAATTCCATTTCAGAACCGACAATGAATTAATTTTCGGCAGTTTATAGATTTATTCACCTCTCAGGGTCAACTGACCAAAGCCCGAACTGGTCCCGTAATCAAACTCATTTTGTACCTGTTCCGAAAAATAAATAGACGGCAGTTATACCCGAAATCACATGCAAAAATTGAAATTACAACATTTCAAGATAGTGTCACATTCAAATACTTTCGAGTCTAAAATTTCCGGCAGAAGAAAGAGTTTTAGATGACTCGACGCACGACCAAGGCAGCCTCGAATCTTTGTTACTATACATGTAGTTCGATTGCTGGGTTTTCATCTATTTATATCCTATTGCGTTCATATTGTCAATTTTATCGTCGATTAATATCCAATATAAATTTTTTTTACGACCTATGGAATGTAAAGTGAAGTCTCAATGATCTTCAAATCAACTTTCGACTTCGAAATGAATACCTCAAATAAAATGACATCACGAATTTAAATAGTAAAGTAGTGAAAGATGATAATTCTAATGAGAATTTCGTGGTAAAATGATATATCTATTTCACATTTTTGTAAAATATTACGCATATCTGGATCTTCTCTCCTTTTATCCCTCCAATAATTACAATCCCACAATTTTGAAATCTTCCAGGAGAAAGAGAAGGAGCATAAAGACAAAGAGGGGAAGGACAAAAGTGGAGAGCCAGAGAGGCATCCCCGTCCGAGTAAGTAAAGAGAAACGACTCGACATTGTAGCCAATTGCCAATTTGGTTTTTTGGCCCCAACGTCGATCTTACCCACTTATTGCAACATATATTACGAGAAATGTCGTGCCTCGATCGATCGTCGCAAACTCTTTTAGATAAAAAAAAAGTCTAATCTACTCATTCCTAGACATGAGGAGGAAAAATGGAACATCAGCAGATACACACGATAGAAGTAGGAACATAACTTGCATTCTCGTGCAACGTGTATTATTATTGGAAATTTTGACTGCTGCTCGTTTCACCCCCCCCCCCCCCCCCCCNTCAGTGTCAGTCCAGATTGTTCCCTCATTTTATTTTAGTGAAAACAAAAATCTTCGTTGAACTGTCCAGAGAGAATTTGCATGATAGTCATCTATTTATTGTCTCTATATATCTCTGTACTCTGCATTGATATCTATCCTATCATTCTTTGCGATTGTTCATTAGCAGAGTTTTATCGTTACAAAAGGTAAACTTTCGAGAGGTCTCACCTCTCGTCTACAGTGACTCTATACACCATTGTCGTCCTCTTTCAAGTATCCTAAAGTTTCAAACATGACATCACTCACAAATACAGAACTGCACAACATTATACATGGCCTGCATCGTGCTCTGAAAAATCGCAGGCAGTGTTCTCAGTTCACGATTTCCAAGTCCTAGCAATAAAGCTGATTCACGGAACGTTGGATTTATGAGCTACTTCAAAATGAAAAATGTCGAATTGGACTTTATAGGATTGTGTGAAAAAATACAACAGAAAAATCTAACGCTTTCGTTAGGAAATGGTATTCAATTCCTATATTGAAACTCTAGATGAATTCTATTTGTTTTTGGCTAATATCTACTGCAAATTTCACAATCTTCAAGAGCATTTTTTAAATTGATATTTAATAGAAACAACATCAATAATGTTTGTTACGTTTTTCCATATCAACTTATTCTCTTGAGAATTTATCTATGAAAATTGTTACACGGAGAGAAATGTTCAATCAAAATTATGCATCTTTTCCGTAATTCCGGAGCGAAATGTGGTTGGAGGAAATTTCCCGGAACTGGCACGGAATTTTTCCGGAGCGTTCCGTAATTTTTGTCTGAATCTCCTGTGAAAAATTACGATACCGTCACTTCAATTTTCTGAGTCGATTCCATCGGTGAGTGAATTGTGAGTTCCGTAATTTTGACTGAACATTTCTCTCCGTGTAGGCATAAATTTTTCAAATTTTTCCGCGTTGTATTTCTTTGATTGATCACTTCAGGATAGAGAAAAATGAAAAAAAAAAATGCCCAAGAATTTGTTGCATTGCAAGAAGTTATATGGAAAAATGAACATGTATTGTCTATTAATGTTATTTCTATCAAATATACATGGCAATTTTCGGATAAATATATCTATCAAAAAATGGCACTGCAAAATTATGTAACTTTCCATTAGATTCGCCAAAAAACCTAGAGGACTCCCAATCGAATTCTGATAATCGAATTCTCAAAAACGGCAGTGTTCGTGAATTTATTCAATTGCAGGGATTATCCCACTTGTAGATCCTCAACAAACAAACAAAAAACAACACAATAATTTGATGAAATAAAAAACCGTATCGATCGAGCGTGACACGTGAAAACGATTGGAATGATTAGCGGAATAAAGCGGGTGTTTCAGCGGTGGGCGGGCGAGTTCGTTGGAGCATAAGAGAATCCTCGCAATCCCCGGTGAAATCGTCGTCGACGAGCGAGCCGCCCATACCGCCTTTACCACCACCACCTTCTGGCCCTGGGCCCACGCAACTCCACAAGAAACCCTCGCCAAGGTCACACCGGAAATGTACGTCAATCCTTTGTCCGCCACGTGCAAAAAAAAAAATAAAAACGCTCAATCGTGTCATTATTTTGTTGCGACATTAACCATTAAGTATCCCTAATGATCTTTCGCTAACGAAATCGTCAGTGGATCCATTTAAATAGATGTCATCATGTAGTTACCATGACTCCTCATGAAAGCTATTGCAAAGTAGTTGTCAGATGCATCTAGATGACATTTCTCATTGTTGTCATTCATCACAACCCTTGAATCGCCCAGTAATTTTTGTTTCCCCAATTTCTCTCTCATGAAAATTTTAACAGATTCATTCTCGAGCATTGCCCGACAATCGCATCATCCAATCCAGTCGAAGAACACCATTTGAAGCCATAGCAATTTTTTCAAATGAATACTACACAGATATTTAATTCCGCATTCAACTCTTCTTCTCTCACCCCCAATCGAAGATCATCTCCCAGTATTTCTGAAGTATTGCACAAATCCCTTGACAATTGCATCGAGCATCTTCATTACGACATCTTCACGAAGCCCACCACATCGATGCGATCATGTAAAAGCCCACGCAAAAAGTCAGACCAGCACTCTATCAATCACAACAGAGATCTTCCTTGGCTAAGAAAATGAAAAATGAATAAAAATAAAGTGCAGAAGTAGTGGAAAGCTCGGAGCTCTGTGCGAACATTCACATCATTTTCATCAATCTACGATATATGTTCTAGCCTTCCTCGCGACCACCGCTTCCCCCCATCGTCCTCTTCATCATCACGCGAAACCTACTTCTGCTAATGTTACGAAAGTCCCCGGTAAGAATACGACACAACACAGTGTCGATGTCCATACAACAGTGTCCAGCTCAGTATCATCAGGCAATGAGGCAGCACCCTCGGGCTCGAGATCACAGCGTATACTAAAATTAAACAATGAGAATAATCGAGCCCGAGGTAGTGCCAGGGCCCAGGTAACAACTGTTATCGACCCATCCAAATCATCCTCCGACAATCGATACCAATCGTACCGAGCTAATGCAGCCCTGCAAGCTAGTAAGTAGCATGCTTTTGACATTACCACTGTGCCGAGTGATAATGACCTTCATCGTGATTTTTATTATTCATTTTTTTTTCCAACATGAAATGATTTTAGAATTCAGGCTAATTCAGCAAAACGTAAAACTCGAAGATTGGAATCTAGTTGATTGCACATTTGTTATGGAAGTAATTCATTTTGGAGGAAATTGTCAGTCAAAATGAGGCCTCTGAACGAAACAATTCCCAACAAGAATCCTCTGAATATTCTTGCTTAAAATCATTCTTTGCCGGGGTAATTTTTCATTGCAATGGTTGTGACAAGTCCTATCTAAAACGTGAGACATTGATTTTGATGTTTTTGTTACTAGTATTATGTATTCATCTTAGAAGCAAGGGATTTTTGGCGAAAAATATCGATGGGTATTTTTTTAGCTGCAAAATTTTCCGACACATGATGTGTTTGAAATGCCAACAACAATACCGGTTAACCCTTCTGTTAGATGCATTCGGTGGGAGGAAAATATTTTGAACATTAGTTCTCAATGTTAGTAATCGTTTATTAGAATTGATCTTTCAAAAATTTAGTAAACAATCTCTGTAAAAAAAACTAGTAAAATTTAAATGATTTTTGGTAAGGGTCACAATATTTTCGTTGAATTTTTATTTGAAAATATTGGCGTTTTGTATTGCATTTTTTTCCATTTCAGGTCAATATACGCTAAACGATTACCAGAATTATGCTGCAATTCTTGACAGATTTTTCTCTCCGCGTTCACTTACGATATCATTAGGAAGTTAAACAATATACGAAAGTTTATTAGTTCTGTTACCTTTTACAACCCCTTAATTTTTTTATCGATTATGAATATTTAAAAATGAATCTAAAGTCATTTCTATGGCACCATGTAAAGCGATGTCTGCTTTAAATCGCGTCAAGTTGAGTAAAAAAGCTTGTTCTCCCTAACAATGGATTTTATTATTCACTGTATGGATAAATGTCTGAATGTCTAGAGACAGCTTAATTCCCTCTAAATATGTGTCATCAAGTCATCATCACCACTTCCACAGTGTCTACACTCTCCATCTCCTCCACTTGTATATTTTTGGTGTAATCTCAGTGTCATCGATATTCTGCTTTTAACCAAGATACTGAGATCATTTACCTTGGTAGTCCGTGAGTGCTTTATGCATCTTCCTTGTACGTCTTCCTCCTCCGTTCCCTTATCCCGTACTCTCCTGATCCATCAATCTCTTAACCGGAAGACTCTCACACACTTACTGAATTGTGCGACAATGTGGCTGTTGTCTCTGCATTGTCTATTCCAACACTGATTTCAGCTACTTCATACTCTCTATCTCCTGTATTTAAACGTTTGCTCTGCTGATATGATGTTGAACGTTGTTGATTGAATATTAAATATGTCTACACCTACAAATACACTCGAACAATTAGTGTCCAACTATCTGTATGCAATTAAATTTGTGATTAAAGAGAATGGAGAAAGGCGTTGTTCTATCAACTGTTATTAATTTCAGTCTACAGGGGCGATTGAGAAGTTGGAGAACACGATTTCGCTCTTAAGTCGTAAATTTCTCATTAATGTTTCACCGGGTAACGACTTGAATCACTTTCACAGGGTGTTAAATCCTTGTCCGTACTGATCTTCACATTTTCTCGTCCGGGGATTGGTATTGGCCCTTCCCCAAACTCGTAAAAGTGAAAATTACTACGGAAAAATATCGTTCACGGCTAGTGCCATGGGGTTTTTTATTCGCGTGGTTGGCCAGTCCTCACCTTCGGCTCGGACGCCAACTCCACGTGAGTAAAAGACTCCATGGCACTCGCCCTGAAATATACGATTGTGGAAATTTTAGACAACTTATTTCCGATTACTTTATCACAAAAATATATGTTTATCAAGAGAAGAAAAACATTTCCTTAATTAAGAATATCAATCGTACGATAATAATTCGAATTGTTTGGACTTGATTGGATCGAAGGTTCAACGGTTGGATTGAATAGACAGGGAAAATCTATTCTAAATTGAAGAAAGATACATTTTACAGTTGTTTACTTTTTTCCCGGAAATTACTGGGACAAACAGATCTCATTTCTTAAATTTTGGGTCAATTATTTTCTCTGCATTTCCCATCGTTTGCAGGTTTGATTCCCATCAAGTTCTCAAATAAGAAGGATTGTTTGCCAATTATCATGAATATTTTTATTTGAAAATTTTTTTTTCTCACTCTTTGTACTTTCCTAACTGTGCAGAACTGTCAAATTGACATTTTGAAATGAATATAGACGTAATAAATGATCCATCAAAAATATCGGCTTCGTCATGCGCGCGTACTCGACGTTTTTCTAGCGTAATTAAAGTCATGTGATGTGAAATGTAAATACATTGGATTTAATTGGCATTGCTGCACGGCTTCTGGCTGACTGCTTTGAAAAATCAACGACCAACGACATCCTGACGAACGAAATTAATTTCGCAACCAATTTACTAAAAATAAAAGAAATCTGAAAAAAACACTCAACTGATACTAGAGAAATTGACTAAAAATACAAATGAACTCAAAATTTAAAGACTTATTAAATTGGAAAAATAAATAATGAGACGTTTTCACGTCGAGGGCGAGCATGTCCCGTAGTGTTCCCCAGTGACTGACCGATGGCACTTGCCGAATAAGCCTCGAACGTTGGTGCTTCCAGTGACAGCAGAACCGCAGGTAAACGGCAACTCAACCGGGGGCGATTCGAGCGTCGCGTCAACTCCACCGTCACAGAGTGCCACCGCACCAGTAGCGACTGCAGTAGTGACAAGCTGCCCTTGGTTCGACGACGAGCCAGTGGTAAAGAGTCCCCCAGAGCCAACACGAGTAAAGTCCCCAGAACAAATGATAATGCGATCACCGGAGCCTGTAAATTGGACAGTGCCGCTGGACACCGGGAAGACTTTCACGGTGACCCAAAACGTGAGGGAAGGTAAGGCCAACAATAATACAATTCAGTAGCGAATTGGTAAAACGGTACAAGTCAATTTTGACTATTGACCCGTTTTTAATGAATATCTCGGAATCTAAGGGAGATAGCAAAATTTTTGTTACAACCTTTTTTATAGAGCCGATTGAGAGCTACAAAAAATGTGTGTTTGAAACCCAGCAAACAAGTCAGTATCGAAAGTTACCGGGCTCAACGGAAAATCTCGACCGACTTCGGGACCCTTCGGGTTCACGGGCAAATCACGAAGCAAATCGCCAAATATTAAATTTCAGTAGTATCAATCTACTCCTCAAAGAGTATACATTAGTTAGGCAGCGATTCGCCTATAGAGTACAGTATCAAACTAACCGAGTATCGAGCACATCACCGAGTATTACATCGAGTCTAGCGCTCTGTATAGCGCCTCTATTTGATTCAATTATCAATTATTTTGAGTCAGTCATCAAGTTTAATATCGAGAGAATCTCTAGTGCAGTGTAATAGTATATTTCAGCACGTGTGGGGCAATATCGTCTTTAACGTGTGTGGGGTTTACAGCATGAGCCGAAGGCGAGTGATGTAACCACACACGTTAAGGACGAAATTTCCCAACAAGTACTGAACAAAATTTTATGTCACTCGACGCTTCGCGTCTCGTGTCTAATTCAGCCGGTTTCAGGCATGAGTGGCATAAAGACTATTATCGAATTGACATTGAGACATTCACCAATTCGTGTATTCCTAAAATCAAGACGCGTGGCTTGCGCCACAAATAAAGTACATCCCCAGTGTTTTTGTAATCCGCGTGTCTTTGATTTCACCGCTTCCACATCACGTTCCATTTCACCTCTTCAACATCGTAGCTTCATCTCTAACAATGTGATTACGAAAATTTCGCTATCTCCATTAGATTCCGAAATATTCCTCAAAAACTCAACAAGGAGATACGTCGACTTAAACCGTTTTACCAGTTCGCTACTGAATTGAAATTCTGATTGCAATGTGAACACTATTTTTTGCACATTTCCAAATCACATGCAGTGAAATGAAATTTATCATCATTATTTAATTACAGTAGAGGCTTCGTATAAGATACTTTAGGGACAGTAGGAGAGTGGAATTCCGGGAACCCCTATGCCCCTACTACGTGCGCCCATAGAGAGGAGAAAAATAGGGATCAGCGGGTTTCAAATAAGATACCTCGCTCGTTGCACCCAAATTCATTGAAATTTTCATTTTTACTGAATGAATATCGATAACTAATCAATTTATATGTGTTTAATGTTTTGAATTTGTATCATCCGCGTTCCCTTTTCGCTCTAAAAATAACCCCCGCGTGATAGAATGGCAGCTGATGTTGGGGGATTGTTGGTGGACTCGAGAATAATCACCGACTAAAAATTATGATTTTTCGATGCACTGAGAAAAAAAAATTCTAATATCTGAAACATATTTCCTTGAGACACGTCATTTTTCTTCAACTGTTTAATTCTCCCAGGCATCTCAACTCACGTGGCCCGAGAAAGGTCTCATGCTTTAACATATTCTTGTTCTCAAGTATGATTTTGTCGTTAATGAACTCACTGTAATCGCGTATAAGAACCGTCAATCTTCAAGTATTTATTGTTTTCATGATTTTTTTGTTATGCAGTGGCAATATTTCGATATGTAATACATTCATGATATAATGCGCAAGAATAGTGATAAATGAGAATTCATTCGAGTTCCGTGAACCGCAAGCATTCGGGGATTTAAACCATTGAAAATAATTCACTTCTCTCAAGTAAATATGGTCTACATATCAGAAAATTTTTCTCTCAGTGTGGGAAAAGTGAAAACAAATCGATGTATATTTCCATTACTTGAACAAAGTGGTGTGACCCCCCCTTAAGGTCATTAGACCCTCATGATCACTTCGTTCGTCCCTCCAGTTTGACGCTTAACACCGTTTGATCCTTATAACTACGCTCTTCCCATTGAAAAATGACCGGGGCCATAGGTATCTTATAAGAAGCCCAGGGAAAATAAACATTCGGGAGGCGATAAAAGTGCCGAGAGTGGGGGTAGGCCTCGAGCGCTCGGAGTGCGAGGTATCTTATAGCGAGGTATCTTATGCGAAGCCACTACTGTGTTTTTTATTTCTATCTTTATTTTTGTAGCCTTTCCATTCGATTTTTGATAGGTATTTCATGGAATTCTATATGATTGATTCTTTTAAATTTTTTTGTAAGAAAGACATCTTGAGATATGTTTTTGACAATTTGCTCGCCCTATATTTATTTATTCCTCATTGGAAAATGCAACACGGAGAAACAAATCAATCAAAAGTTGCGGTAGACGGTGAAAATTCGCTCAAAATGCCATAAAATTACTCCGTCTTTTTTGTACTTTTTCACCAACAACTTACAAATTTGACGGTGCACTTGCATAAAAATTACATTCCCAATGGGGAAATTTATTGTTTGCCTCACATTTTTTTCTTCATATAAAATAAAAATATAATTTCGCTCCGCGATTACCTAGATTATACAGTAATTTTCGTGCGTGTTTTTTTCTTCGTGAAGTAGAAAAAAAATTGAGCTGTTCATGGATAAGAATTCTTATTCTTACAAAAGAATTTGCGACAGAATAAATTATATAGAAAAATGAATTTGTATTAACAGTTTATAACCAGAAATTTATTGGAAAACATAAAACCAAAAGGTAAAATGGAATAATTTTCAATTCAAGTCAATAAACAACTAGTAGAATTCCAATAGAAAACCAATATAATTTTCTACTGAATGCGCTACGTTTTCCAATAAATTTTTTCATTTTTGGAAATATTTACTTATTTTGAAAATTCAAGGAAATTGATTTTTTCATGTTCCACGAATTTAAATCGGTTAATTGGTCGCATTGATTTAATATCATGACTCGCATCATCACGTCAAATTGAAATTTGAATAGCCATAGAATTTACATAATTTTTTCGATCACAAATTAATCAAAATTTCAAATAAGTTATGGAATATTTTTAAAAATTTATACTAAAACACAGGTGAAATGTCGTATGTGTGTACTGAAAGAAAAAATTGTTTTTGCCAAGTTCGGATTTTCCTGGGAGTAGAAATTATCGTTTCAATAATACACATCTCCAGATACGTTTGTTCCAGGTAGATCGAGTTAGGTACTATGTTAAGGAAATTAATTGAAGTTTATGTTCAACATGATCATTTTGTGGTACAACATGGTTGTAGCGCATGAAACCCAACTTGAATCATCTGGGAATAACCTGGCGGTTGGAGGAGTGCATCTTGAAGAAAAATAATTCCCCGTCTCAAGTGCACGTTAATTCATTTCAATGATTCAATTCAAATTAATCATACGTAATGTGTTAATAAACCAATCTAATTAATTTGTATTAATTAAAGTGGAATTAAGGGAGTGGTATCATATTTCTGTTCATCGTTGCTCCCGTTAAAACACGCAAAACAATCAAGTACCAACTGCAGTATACTTCTACTTACTGATAACAAAATTTCATTCGTGGGGGCGAAATTTTTTGACTTTATCAGTCAACTTTTGTTATCAACGCTGTGCTGGATGGATGACCCCGTGAGGCGCGTGTTCGAGTCCGGCCTTGAGCGATGACTTTTAAAACCTCGGAAACTATCAAGACACCAGGAACAGTCGAGATTGAATGCTTGAGAAACATTCTCCGATAATACCCGGTCAATGGAGGTCCATGGCGGCTAGGGTTTGTCATCATTTCCTTTGGTTACCAGGAGAGCTTGTACACAAAGTGCAGCTCCCAGGGCGAGGGGGTGGTGACTCCTCAATCGAGTGACTCAGTGATTTCCAGAATCAGATGATTTCCTGTGATTTCCTCTTGATTTCTGTGATTTCGCAAATGATTTTTGTGATTTCCCAATCAACATTAGAAATCATGATTTCCATTTTCGGTAGTGATTTCGGGTGAAACTGAAAAATCTACTAGAAATCATAATTTCTTGTGATTTCCATGATTTCTATTCCATGAATTCGATGAATCATAATTTCTTGTGATTTCCATGATTTCTAGTAGATTCCAATGATTTCGTGATTTCAAGCAATAATCGCAGGAGATAAGCGCAGTTTTCTACTTGACGTTACAATTACAAGGATGTCAAAAACTTCACAGCGTCACATTTCGGGATTAGGTGATTTCGAACGCACCAATACCATAATAAAAATTGTCGAGTTAAAACTGCAAAATCAATTTCGATTTTACACTTATCGATGATTTCTAATGATTTCCGATGATTTCCAGAAATCTTTAGAAATCACTACCGAAAATAGAAATCACTTGATTTCCAGTCGACTTGTCCAGTGATTTCCTAAGTGACTAGCCCCTCGTCCCAAGGTGATTGTGACATGATTCAGGGTAAAAAGTCAGCCCTTGGAACCGCAAATGGGTGGTGGTTGGGATGGGACCATAAAGAACCTAAGCGGTTATATGGGAAACGGTTAAATTTAAAAAAAAATCAACCTTGTTTTGATAAAAATGAAGTTTGGTGGGTCTTTTCTTGTGAACGATGATTTCCACCATTGGAATACAGAGGAAAAAAAGTTTTAGTCTTTGGGGATCTGTGATGTTTTAAAATTTAATGAGTACGTACATTCTAAAATAAAATATTGTGTAGTTAATTTCCAGTGACAAAATCCTAAATTTTGAAAATTCATGGTAATTGCAGTTAGTGTCAAGAATCTTTAAAAATTACCAATAGATTTCTAAAAATGGAGAAACGATTCCCAACAAGTACGAATACACCCCTAAACTCCACTTGGTAATAACAAATTTCGTTTGTGAGGGACAAAATCTGTTGACGTTATAAGTCAACTTTTGTTATGAACAAAAAATTAAGTTTGTTCATGACGCAACATGATATGTAACGAATGAAGATTCGTCAAAAACAAGATTTTTTATGAGAATCATTAGCAATGTTAATTTACTTAAATCACTCGGGAATAACCCGCCTGAAGAAGTGCATCTTGAAAAATAATTTCTCCTCTCAGTGCCCCATAATTATTTCAATAATCCAATGAAATTAAATCATGCATAATGTATTAATAAAACAATCTAATGATTTTGTATTAATTAAAGTGCAATTAAGAGACTGGTATCATATTTCTTAGTTTGTTGCCGGTAAATATCATTGAATTTTGTTGCTGATGTATTATTACGTCCGTTGAAATCACTAATAATATTCATTTACAGGGGAACTTCTGACGCGACCCCACAGCGAAGCGAAGACTTGGGCGGCAGGGTCGACAGTGATATCAACACCCCAGTCAGCGCCCCCGGAACTAGCTCAGCACAAATCTCATCATCAATCCCAGCACTCAGGATACAAGTCACCGGAGAGCGAGAGCGTCTCCCTGGGGAGTTATACCGGACTCAACGGCCACAAGGATCTCGACTCGGAGAGGGACAGTCCACTACCGAACAATCTACAGGGTACATCCACAGCATCCCAAAGTGATAAGGTACTTCATTATTCAGACTGAGAGAATTCGAAGCGCCGGGAAATGCTGGAGTAATTTTTAATTATTTCAACTCTCCCTCGGTGCTCAACAACTTTTTTATCTCACTGTGATATGAATTCCGGCCACAGAGAGTATTTAATGGAGTGAAACTAATTATACATACCTAACTCGATACCATTGAATTCGGTTAATTACAATTTTCCTCGTTTGCACGGAGATTTTCAATTAAATGAAAATGGAAAGAATTGTCCCGAGTGATTTCGATACTGATAAAATTCTGGAATGTTTAATTAATGAAATAGAAGCAATGGAAACTGTTTGAATAGATATGTATGACGTAATTTCAACATTTCCTCGTTTTTTAATGGATGGATAGAATTCTGTTGCGAAGTTGTACAGAAAAGGAGATGAGTAAGAGTTCTTTACGAATATTTTAGTCACAAAATATGGCAAAACTGGTGGGTTAAGGGGGAACGTGTCAAGTGAGCTTTTTTATAGATCACAACGTTCGTGCAAGCCATTCAATAATATTCATAAATTGGTGGTGCTCTTCACTAACTCAGTTTTGAAGTCAAGGTGTTTCCATTATTAATCGAAATTGAATAGGCATGATTGGAGTTAGTTCAACATTTGTTCTTTTCCAATGGATTTAATTTGATCAAAACACTTTGCAAAGATTTTATATGCGTTGGAGTGATTTTGTATTCTTTATCACATCACTACTGACTTCGGATAAAATTTCTTCTCACAAAAATTTTTACTCCAGGAAATATACCCTAACGGTGCAAATCTTTTGTTGAAATTTTATAAATCCCTCGAGTAACTTCTAGTTTACTCTGGTGGTGATAAAAGTCTTCTATCGGTCAGAGTTGAGTTGAAAAAATGACATTATGCATGCAAAATGCACGGTACTCTGCCAAGCATACATATAGTGTTTTTTAATATTTCTATTTTCAATAAATTATTACTGGTTTCATATACCTCCCATAATTCCACATAGCAAGAGAGAATGCATTCATATGAAAACAATAAATTATATATATTTTTCCGTACTGATCTTCACTTTTCCTTGTCGGGGGATTGGTATTGACCCTTCCCCAAACTCGTAAAACTGAAAATCACTAGGGAAAAATATCGTTCACGCCTAGTGCCATGGGGTTTTTTCATTCACGTAGTTGGTCAGTCCTCGCCTTCGGCTCGGACGCCAACTCCACGCGAGTAAAAAACCCCATGGCACTCGCCCTAAAATATACTATACTCTCTACGTACTCGGAACATTCGCTGAATACGGCAGAATGTTTGCAACAATCCGAAATAAACAAAAAAGTGAAAAACGGCGGGAACGACCGCAAATGACTGTTTGACATTTTCTTTTTGAGTTGTCCATGCCAAAATACATAAATGCATAAAAAACTACGTTTTTCTTTCGAAAAGCTCATGTCGAACGTTACGACACATCTGCTCATTTTATAGTACATTAGAGTACAAGGGCAGAAATTTCGTTTTCAACGAATGTGTAGTTTACAGGCCGAGCCGAAGGCGAGGTCTGTATACACATTCTTTGAAAACGAAATTTATTACCGAGTACTCTATAATATTTTATGTCAAGTCGTGCAGAAGTCGAGTTTTGAGCAGGCTGCGCGAAGCGCAAACTCCATAAAGAGCACTTCACAAAGATTTTATTCGCAAATATGTCTGAAACGATTCATGTGACAGGAATGGCGATAAAGGCTTTTTATATGCTGTAAAGAGGAAAATGGCGAGTAAAACAGTAAATAACAAGAGCACCGTTTCCTAAAACCTCACCCTTCGGAAAATATCCACCGGACAACCTACAAATTCCTGTTGAACTTGTCTCTCCTGTGTTTCCCCGCAAAATACGCTGCTGAATTTGCATTCTGGGTTTATTTATTAATCAAAATTACACTAGTACCTCTGTACCTCTCGAGAAATTTATTCCGATATTCCTATCGTGCGGCTAGTAACAAGTCTCACCCACAGTTTCAGTCCACAACATATCCCCTCAATTATTCATGACAATGGAAAATTTATCCGTACGAAACAAGCCAATCTCTCTGTAACATTTCCAGAGAGTGTTCCCACGATGAAAAATAAATAACCACCACCCCACGAAACCCAGATGTGCTAGCTACACCTTCTTGTTTATGTCTCCAGGGATCAGTAGCACCAGAAACAAAGGAAAAGCTGCCTGAGGAGCCTTCGATAAAACCCGTGGCCGGGACAAACCTCCGTTGCCTAGAGGATCCAGTCTTCGAGTTCGATCGAGGCCAAAAATCCGAAGATCCTCTACCCTCAACAACAACAGCCCCAGTGACGCAATCAGGCTATCGTGTTCTAGAAGCAGAAGACCCAGTAGTGCCTCCAGGTGGTACAGGCGGCACTTCCAGTGCTGGCTATCACGTACTGGAGGCACCAGCCCTTAGTCCAGGCGCTCAACAACGATCAGTCACCAGTGATGTACTGGAAATCGCTCGCAATCGCTTTGACAAATTCTGGGGCAAGGGAGGATCCGAGAATCAGGCTTAAAAAAAACGAGAGCATAAGAAAAATCGTAAAACAAAGTCGCATCATAGACTAGACCGCTGACGGAAGATTGAGGGTGTGAATGAATTATTTAAATCGATGAATTTGAATAATTGGAGCTGATGAGTTCACGTGATCGTCGTCCAATGCTCCTTTGGGCCTTCTAGAACAATTCATTTTAAATACAATGAGTAATATCTCATAATCATTTATTAATCATCAATGGCCAATATGAACAATTTGCTGAATGGCTTTACGTGCTAATACGTGTTAACTCAAAATAGATTTTGGGAGGCTTCATGCATTTTTGTACGTTATAGAATTAACCACGTAAATCAAAACACAAGAGAACATAACGAAATCGAATGATCCAGAGAGTAAATAATTGGAAAAGGTGCTTTCTAATTTCCGCAAACACGTGGTGGATATTTTGTTAATTGAAATTCACCTTTGTCACGAGCGTCGATCGATGGGACTAATTCGGGGGGAGTTTTTGTTGATAACTATATGCATTGAGTGCGTCGTACGGACGAGTGATCACGGTTTGATTGGCTCCAGATGCGGAGTGGACAGGTTGACCATGATTTATTCAATAAATAATAGATAGCGTTGCACTCCGATAAAGAGAGAAAAATGCTATGAAATAATTATCAGTCGTATGAAGAGCAAATGGGAGGGGTGGATTAGAGAGATTTATCGAACGCTGTTTTACATTCCGTCTCACAATGTTTTTTGCTGTATTTAGGTTTGATTTTTTATTGAATATGGTACTCACTTTTTGAGGATATACTGTCCCTCAACAGACACAAGGCGCTACCTGATTTACCTGCATGATTTTATCTCCGATTTATTGATTTTATGAGTAACTATTAACGTTCGAAAAGAAAGTTCGATGGAGACAAGAGTAAATGATGGATGTGGGAGGAGTAAGAAGGAGAAAAGTAACAGAATGGAGACAGAGAGCATGGTGAATCCATGTGGAGAAATCCCTTGAGGTCAAACGACGAAATGAAAAAAATAAAGCGTTCGGGTGATTCCTATAGTTACGTCTTGTAGTTTAGGAGCTGAAGACAATGCTGGAGTTTTTTTACTAGTCAATGCCGAGACTGTTTTCTCAAGGGAATGAAGAAACAAAGGAGAATAAACACTGAGTTCAATCGAAAGTGGCAGAGGTAATTGATAAATATTGAGGATCGAAGAGTGGAAAGTTTCATACTCGATAAGAATGAAGAGCTTTTTTTTCTCACGCGCGTTAAGATATACCAGTACACCACACTCCATCCAGATTCCACGTCCAAAAGTCCATAAAAATGATTAAACAAATTCAAATCCAACCAACAGTAGTGATGTGAAAATAATTAAAAATACATAAGACAGGAGAACAATTGAAAACATAAAAATATAATTGACTGATGGAATTCGGTGAACGTAGGATGCAAGGAGATTAGGGAGTGATTTAATGAATTAGGAGAAGTATCTTAAGGAACATTGTCCTGACGAGATTGCTTGAGGACGTTCTGCACCCTTGAGCTTTCTTCATTTTTTAAGGAAGAACAGGTAAAATCATTTAGATCTGTTGTTGATGTCCTGCATCAATTACTGTATCAAGATAGCGCGTAGCTTCGAGAAACTAATCGAGTGCGACATGATCATCACTAGTTATTTGATTTAACTCTTCATTGATAATGTATGAGGGGAAATTAACAATTACATTTTCGAGTTTATGTCAATATTTTGAATACCTCAAGCATGAATGGGCGATGGAATTCTCCCAGGTGTAATGATAAACCCCTGAAATTCCACTGTATTCCCGACATATTCATCAGAATGACAAAACTCCAAAGAATGCAAACTCCTCGGTTCACTCCATTCAAAACAATTCATGCGAAAAAACATACCACTCATCACAATTCCCTCACTAAATAAAAAAAAATAATAATTGAAGACTCCGTTCGAATGCACCTCGCGAGCTCACACTGCCCGTCCGAATTTTCTAGGCACCGATTGTCCTGTGATCCTGTGACAAAAAAAAATTGTAAGGAACATTGAAACAATTCCTCTGAGTTTATTATCAATCAACTGCCCTGAGTATTTCTGAGACCATTGTCAACATCGGGCTAGTTTTATTTATCATTAAAATTTAATTATCGTTTGTGAGTGATTTGATCTATAGTGATTTATAGATATCGAAAGAAAACGAAAATGGAGCTGATTACTCTGCGTGCTGGACACGTAGATATTTTCCATGAGAATGAGATTGAATCACCCGCCAGATCCGTCGTTTTATCTAAAAACCATTATTTCCCCTGAGAGTGACAATCCCATTTTGATTTTTAGTCAATTGGTATTACGTGTAGTTTTTACGCAATCGATCGAGGTGCAAGAACAAAGCCAGAGAGAAGTAAATACCCAAAGTTTAACATTCAAAAATAATTGTAAACAATTTTTTTCTTAATGATGATGGTGAAAATGACAAGCCCAAGAGCGACAAAAAACCATTAAATAAGGCAAACCCGGGATTTCTTTCTGCGTCCCTCCCCGCCTTAGTCTGTAAACGCCTATTATACATAGATAGAACGTATTATAATACGACAATTATATACAATTAAATAATTCAAATGAACATGGCAGATAGATTATGCAATGGATTAATAGACGAGAGTGATTGATACCGGCCGAACTGTTTTGCGAAAATACGAGAATAATTGATGCGCACTTATATGATCAAATGATGTATTGTTGATTTTGATGTTTATACGAGTATTTAAGAGTTTAAGGGCACGAGGTACAACGAATTTGTCACGATTGAGTGTATCATTTTATTCTGATTATTATGGAGAATAAGGAAATGATAGTAATAGTAAATTTACGTCAATTTTTTAATGTATGGATTTCCAGTTAATTTTCTACTTACAACGTTCTATCATAATTTATGATAGTCCATTTGATTTTTATAAATTTCAGTCGCTTCCGTCTTCAGTGAAAAATATGAAACGCTTCACGATTTTGCGTATTCAATTTAATGAACGCCATTTAATATTTTTTCCGAATATTTTCACCAAGTGTATATAATATTGTTCATAAAAAAATTATTATATCAAATGTGATGAAATGAGAAACTTTTTTAACAAATAGAGGCCTCTCTCGTGTGTACACGACTTTGTTTGGTGCAGGGTAATTAAATAATCATGTGATGGGATTTTTATGAAAAAAAAAAGAAAGAAGAACCTAATCGTTTCTCATATTTTGCAAAACAGTCAACGGAATGGGCATGGATAAATAAAAGAAGAAACAAAATAACAAAATGAAAAAATATATAATCAACATGACTGAATCTATCATTTCACGTTAATTACGTTTGATACGATATTTCACGTTATCGTTGATAATATGAATGAGTCGTTGGGGTCGAGAAACATTGATATATTATATAAGCACATTTAAGCGAAGAAAAATAAAATCGTTGTCGTAATTATTTTGCAATTAATTCGGAGTGCAGTGGATAAAGTGTTAACAAATGCTTCAAAGATACGTATAGACGTAAAGTGAACTAAAAATAATAATAATACTAATAATAATAATAATACCAGAGACATGAAATTATCTGTGTCCTATTTTCACGTTGATTCCCTCTGAAAACCATATTCCTTCTCGATTACAGTTGAATAACGGAATTCAACTACTGAATCATTCATTAACATTAATATTCAAAAAACTTGAAGAATGAGGCAGAGGGAAAAAAGAAAATGAAACAAAAATGAAATGATTATGGCTATATATATTATATATTATTAGAAATTGAAATACTCGTAATAAAGACACGCCGAAGCTTCCTGTGACTTGACGAAAAATGAAGACAAACAAGATATTCAATTCGAATTGGCCCTGAATTCCTCACGAAAATGACTATGATATCGTTGAGTGAAATAATAAGACCATTCATTAAATCGTAATATAAAGCATGTAATATCCTCATCACCACAAATTCATTTTTCTACAAAAACCATCAACAAACATTAGTGTTCTATTCCATGAATTATTTACACTTGGGTAAAAGTTGTATCGAACTCCAGGGAAAAGTCATCATTCGATGAATCAGATAAATTTTGTCAGGAGTCATTTTCGCCGAACACCTTGAATACCAATTGCAATCACATTTTTTTCTAGAATTCAATAAATTGGACCATCATCAAGATTGTCTTCTTCATCCTCATATCCCTCGCCATTGTCGAAGTAGTTGTTAACGTAATCAGTACCATCGTCCATCTCTTCGTCGACCTCAGCCTCCTCGTCCTCAACGGCCTCATCCCCATCCTTCTCCTCTTCGTCCTCATCAGCCTTCCCCTCCTCATCATCACTCTTCTCGGTGCCCTCCTTCTTCTCCAACTCCTGCAACTTCTTCTCCACATCGACTTCCTTCTTTTTCTTTTTGGGCTCCACCGTAGCCTTCTCCTTCGCCTTTCGCTTCCTTCCAACGGATCTCAACTCCTTTGGGAGTCTGTACCAATCGTACCTCACCTCGTATGTGGATTTGTCTGTTATCATATCCTGGTATCTGTCCGAGTACCTCTCGATGTCTTTCTTCACTACTATGGGTTGAACGTTGTTCGGGGACTCCCTCAGGACCTCACCAAAATCTCGTTTCAACTGGAGGAGGTAAGATAACTCGACTGTTAATTGGAACGGTGGAGCCTTGTAGTCTAGAGGTGGGTATTTCATTGGTGGCTGGAGCACTGGAGGGAGGGTGATGGGCTCTCCTTTCGCGAAACCAAATTGCTCGGGGTTCAGGGTCATTGCGGGCTTGCCGCGACCACGACCACGTCCTCCCATGATTTGGAGGATGATATTTCAGTGTTGTAGTTGGAGAGATGTCACCTACTTTGCGTAATCTGAAAATGCCAATTAATGATAAACCATTAGACATAATACAGTCTACCATTAGACACAATACTAATAGTAGGCTTCCGAATGGGTCCCAATGTATGTTTTCAAAAAATAAAATCATGTACTCATGTTAAATGGCTTTGTAAGTTGTCCTGATGGGAAAGTGAATGGTGAAATATAGCTGCGTCAATTTTTTCTTCCTCACGAATTTTGGGTGAATTGTTCCATCTCGAAATTTAATAATTTTTTTTTCAATACAAAGAACAATTATTTCCCTATGTGACGAGCCTAAACTGAGCACAATTGATAAATTTGTTTCTGAGTTATGAATAATTTTAAAAAAGTCTAAAGTGTCCATTTTACCCCACCCTGCCCTACAGACATTTTTTAAAAACATCATTTCTTCACGTTTCATGACATTTCTAGGCGTTTCCATCCAAAATTAATAAATCGAAAAAAATTATGATTACAAAGCTTCCGTTCGAAAGCAAAAACAGTTATTTTCATGACACATTTGATGAATAAAACAATCTTACTTACATGAAGACTGATTCAATGCTAGTAATGGAAATTTAGACGACTACATACCCTTATGCTTTCTCCTTGATCAATTCTTTATTCTCCTTCTTCTCGACTTCCTCTTGTTTAGCTGCAAAAGCAGCTTTATCATAAATAACCCTTACAACTAATGAGCACGATGGACAAGTTGCGTCCTCCTCCCCAGCAATTAAATCAGCTCTCGATATCTGGAACTGATCACCACAGGGGCAAGGGTAGTAGTAAATATCCTCGTCCTCGTCGTACTCGAAGTCCTCGATCTCCACCTCGTCGTGGTAAACTGTCATGTCGTTTTGAACCTCTGCAACATCACCTGAATTCCCTCAAAATGTTATTGCGTTTGGCGAATTCTGTGAGGTTAGAGGTGACACACGTGGGACTCATTCGTGTTTCAAAATCCCTCCAACTCACCGACATTGAAAAAATTATTATTCCTCAACTATTCCCTCTAATTTCCACGAATAAACTCTGTATTTATCCTTTTATCGTTATTTCAATCATGAGCAAAGTCAGAGTTCAACAGTCTTAATTATTTTTGTAGCATAAATATTGTTTTCAAGAATGAAAATTGAATTCCGCGGCTCTCGCGGCCATTTTAAAATACCATTGCCATCTATCGCCAAAATCGCGCAATAATTTGCCGGGAAATTCAGTGAACTCCTCTCCGCATCTCCGGAAAATTATTTGATTTGTGGAAAAACTGAACTGTCAATTTTTGACTCTGCTAGATTGACATTAACACACGCCAGATGTAACAATGCAATAGTGCTCGAATAAATATCAATAAATTCTGATATTCATAATCAATTTCAAGGTCTCCAGTACCAACCACTAAAACCCTATTTATTGACAATAAACGTCATTAACGATTACGATCAAATGATCGCAATTTAAGTGACAGATAACCTTATACGCTCAACAATGATCAATGTCACATAGATTATTCAGTGATTATTCGTCATTGTGCTTTGTTAGTCACAATTTGACAAAACGGGTGAACAAAACAAACTCAACATATTAAAGTGGGTGGTGGTTTGCCATGACTGTGAATAATGGAGGTGAAAGTCGCGGAGGGTCTCGTAAGGGACTTAGACCTAACACTTCAGCCGCGAGCCGCACCGAGGTACAAAGTTTGGCTGCCCTTAGCCACCCAACAGGTGAGATAAATCACAGAGGTTGTCGTAAATCATTAAATCGTCTATTTTTTCCCACGACAATGCAACTTCATGACTGGGAGTCACATTTATAACTCCACGTGACTGTGGAATTTCAGCTGCGCCTGAGGAGCTTGTGCCAAGTGATAGGCTGCAACTTGGAGACGGATAAGAACATTGAAACATGCTGGTTCTATTTCACACTCCACAGATCGAGCATGTCATCACCATTTTATACAAGTGAACCCATTGACAACGCTAGTCCACGATGGGCGAGCCTTGAAGTGCCTACTTTACATGCAACTGGCCTCTCCACTGCCAATGGTAATTTCAATCATCATTTCAATCAAAATACGTAAAGAGTAACAGTCATATGTAATCTGTCAAATGGCTTCTGTCACGCTGCTTGTTTCGAATGGTTTTCCATGTAGTTTCGTCTGGACTAAGACGTTCAAGTATTGTGTTGCCTAGTGTGAAAAACATATACCCCTCCCTCTGGCTTGCTGTCAGGGGTAATGAATTCATCATCATAATGAATCAATCATCATTTAACCCAGTGTCTTATGTGAAAATCAACATTTCCATTGTAATTAAAGATTAAAATCTGATTTTTTTTTCATCAGATGTGAAAAAATCAAGAATTTTTTTGACACCATAAAAAATAATCCACCGTTTTGCAAGCAAGTTGTATTATTTATTTAGAAGAAGGAAATGTTTGAAAAAATATCAATATTTTGCGAAATTTAATTTAGATAATACTGACTGGATATGAATTTTTTCAAATTTTTTCTATGCAATTTAGTTGAAAAATTTAAAAACTAAAAATATCCCAAAGTATAGCGTAGCCTGGCCGACGGGTAGAGCTATTTCAAGTTATCTTTTTTTTTTTATTATTATTTTAAGTTATCTTGATGTGATAATGAACCGTGAAATATGGATGCGTTATTTTTTTTTCGTAAGAATCTTCGGTGAATTGTTCCCTCTCAGGAACTATCAAATATATCGACCTAAGATTGGATATGGAAGTAGTATTTGATAATCCTAACTAGTAGGCAAAGGTTCAAAAGGTTTTCCTGACATTTACCCATGTTATAGTGCACAAAGTGCATTCTGCCCCAACAAATATGCAAACGGTTATATCTCGATCTTTTTCATTGGGACAGTGTCTATTTTTTTAGAAATAGATAGATGACATCAAGACGGGCATTTTGAAAGAAAATTCAAATCGGACCAGTAATTTTTGAGATATTGAGCAGAAGAGTTTCAGATACAAAGTTAAATATTTCCGAAACAAACTTTGTTATCATAACACGTAAAACCCTACCAAGTTTCAAGTTCAATATAAAACTACATTGCTCGGGGTGTCATGGTCTTTTTTCGATTTAATTGAATAGGTATCACCATGACGAGTATTTAAAAAAAAATCCAATCGGTCGAATGATTCAGAAGATATCTGCAAAGAAACTATTCTTGAGGAATTGCTATATCTCAGGAGCGCTCAATCGATTGAGCTGAAATTTAGTACAAATTGAAGTTGCAGTAGTATCAATTAGCAGCCAGAATTTTAGCGTCTTTGCATTAATCATTCTCGAGTTGTGGTGACAGTTCTGGACATACGAACACATATGTGCACACATACATACAAACATGCAGACATTTTTAAAAAACATTTCTTCATGTTTCATGTCATTTCTAAGCCATTTACCCCCAAAATTAGGAAATGGAAAAAAGTCACGATTACATAGCTTCCATTCGGAAGCCAAAAATTAATGATTGTATTAGAAATGCAGAAAACACTGCGAGTAATCGAACCACGGAGTTTTTCATATTAATTTCTCCGTTTTCACGAAATCATTTGTTGTGACAAGAGAGGATGAAGTGATTTCAGGAGTACTTCATGAATATCTTGGAATCTACTGACTTTAGAGAAGGATATGAAGAAACGATCTAATGTTTTTCTCTATGCCTCTTCACTTCAAATTTTTTTAAAAATATAGTTTGAGCATATGGAAGTTACAGAAATAAAATGCATCATTCTGGTGCCAAGTTTTATGGGTTCTGCCTTTTTCTTGAATTTCACATATTGGAATTATACATGTCGAGTTGTACAGAATAAATTCAACTGAATTTGGATTGCAGCATATGCAATTGGGATGATACATAACTATTACACAATTGAGAAAAATTGAATATATATGTGGGGATTACAACTTTTGCAGACAAGCTTTTCCTGTAAAACACCACCTGTGTCAACAAATGATCGTTTTATTAAAAAAATTGCATATTGACGTTAAAACAATGAGACAAATTTAGTAGTGCACTGGTGGAAAGAAATAAAACTTTTCCCTACAGAGGAATTTTATTCAGCTACAAAAGAAATCAGAGTTTTCTTGTGAAGTTACTTTCCTTCTCGATGAATGGAGAATGGAAAAGAGAAGTGTCCAAATTACTGGCAAACAGTATTTTATTTGTTTCAACTTATTACGACGCCGGTAAAAATCAAACAATGAAATATCTAACGAATTGACCTATTTTCAAATCCCCAGAAATAGTTTTACGCCTGTGGAGACGTACAGTAGTGGCCGACCCAACGACAGACGTAACAGTATTCACCTGGGGTATCTCCTTTACCGGTCTCGTCTACATGGGCCCAAAGCTCTCGAACAATCTCGAACCAATGCTCCGCCCCAACTCCCTCATATTTCACCTCTACGGTGGCTTCTTCGTGCCATCCTACTGCCTTCTCCATCCCCCTGAATTCCGTCGTTACCTCTACATGAGCGTCAGCAACTCTGAGATTCGCGAGAGCTACACAGTCTCCAAACTGACCAGCCTCAGACGCAAGATGCTGCTCCTGAAACAGCAGACTGAGGCAACAGAAGCGTTACGCGAGAGAATAGCCTCCGGAGACGGTGTCCAATCTCCAAAATTCAAGCAGACAACTCTCAATCGATTACTGCAACCGAAGAGAATAAGTAAAGAGAAGAGGGCAGAAATCCTGAAGATGAGAAAGGAATTAGAAGTAGCAAAATTTAGAACAAAATTACTAGAACAAGAGAGATTAAGAAAAATGGGCGAATTACGTGGATTGAATCAATTACACCTGACTGTGATGGAAGAGAACCAGGACCACGGTTCGTTGCTGATGGAGAGATACAGAGAACTGAACAAAGACATGGAGAGACTGAGGGAATGGCGTCAGAGTCACATAGAGACTCGAGAAGTTTACGTGCAGACCTCGGCACAGTTGGCCTTCAGAAGACGCCAGCTGATGTCTGACCTCTGCCTGATCTTCCCCATTCGTCAGGAGTCTGAACGAAAATACACCATCAATAACGTACACCTACCGGAGAGTGAAGAGCTGGACTCCTGCAACGACATTCAGACCTCAGTGGCCCTGGGTTACGTGGCCCAGTGCACACAGATGGTAGCCAACTTCCTTAATGTTCCCACCAGGTACCCCATCCTCCTCAATGGCTCTAGGAGCAAAACAGTCGACCATATCAATGACAATTTTCCTGAGAAAGACCGTCAGTTTCCACTCTTCTCACGGAGCAAGGACAAATTACGGTTTCATTATGGAGTTTATTTATTGAATAAAAACATTGCGCAGCTCAGGTGGTACTGTGGCCTCACCACGATTGATTTACGCCCAACATTAGTCAATTTAGGATCTCTGCTGAATTTAAAACCCAATCAGTCATTGGACAACTCGAAACGAACCTTCTCAGGATCTTCTTTGGACACTGATAACAGTGCCAATGGAAAGCACAATGTCCCCCTGACTCCACCCCTACAAAAAGTCATGATCGATAAAATCAACAGAACTAAGACGATGAGTCAGTTGAGAATGTTGAGATCTTCATTAGGATCTTCCCTCGATCAAGGTCTCGATAAACCGAATCAGAGTCTCGTACTTGGAAAGCAGAGCAAACGGATTTGCAAGTCTGAGGAGTCGGCAATCGACGAAAAAACGTTTTCATTACCTAGAGATGGGTTGAGCAACAGTAGTGAGGAGACTATTGACGACGGAGTGTTTCAAGATGCTAATGCTGAGAGATTGAAGCCATTGGAGTCCAGTGAACTCATTGAGCCTGAGATCGAGATCACGATACCTGTGTCTGTGTCAAAACCAAAGTGCGATGACGATGGTATCAGACAGAGGAGTTCCAACTCGATAAGCAGCTGTGAGATGGCTCTAGGGGGGTCTCAGACTGATGTGGACAGGCCGAATGGAGAATTGGATGCTGGGAAAATTGAGATTCCATTGAATAAACTTGCTAATAAGTTGAATAATATTCACGTTCAATCGAATGAGAGTCCCACGACTTTTGGCATGGAAAAATCAGAAAAGGAGAGGAGTCAAGAGACTTTGACTAGTCTGGTGGGTGACAAAAGAGTGATCGAGAGCACTGAGACACTCTCCAGTTCATTGGTGTCGCTGGATGACACCAGCAACTCCTGCGAACGGATCGAGGAGAGACTGAGTGTCGCCTCCAGCTGCCCTGAGAGTGCTAAATCGTTCTATGATGATGCGGATGAAACTCTGAGGAGCAATTGGAGGACCGAGTCCAATCCCAGTCTCCAGATGTTGGGCGGAGTGGAGAGGAGGACATTTCCCGTTCCCATCTCTCGATCACAGCCTAACAGGGTTCAGGAGGCCGTCAATGATTATCAAGCCTCCACAGAGTTCATTGATTCCATACGTAAAAGCTCGGAAAATGTTTTTGCAAGGACTGAAGCACTCGCGAACAAAAAAACGAGCTTCAAAGTCATGAAGCCAAGGTTCTAGGGTTATTTGTGATTCGAGAGAAATTATTTTTCAATGATTCCATAAATTAATTATTGTAATTTATTATAGCTCACAAATTGATTTTTCTTTATTGGTGGATTAATGTAATTTTTATTGGAGAAAAGAATGATTGAAAGCTTGAAGAGGTGAATTTTGTTGATGAGGAATTGTTAAATTAGAGGATTTATATCAATTGATTCAGTTCAGTTGACGTACAAATTATGTTGGAAATAAATGTTTGGAGATTTTATGAGGAAATTTCTGTTTACATTTTATTGTTCAAATAAATGTCGCTCGATTTGTAATCATTTTCTTCTCAGTATAAGCGCGAGTGAGATTAATTGGAACAGAGAACAATGATTGAATGATTAAATTATTTCATTATATAGAACACATAATAAAATAGTAATTTTATTATCCATTGTTCACTGGTCTCACTCTTTTATTTGATGTATATATAATTTATAGTACGATGTTAAAAGCTGTATCGAATTTGCTTCTGTTGAGATGACACTTGCGAATTAATCATGATAATAATATATATTGATTATTTACAATTATTGTATCTGGCTCATTTAATGCTATTAGAGTTGTCCTTCAATATCAAAGGATTCATTTTCCTTCTCAATGTTGTTTTTTTTCCACTGCTCATCGGTCCAAAAATAATTTAGCATTTTATCCTACCGTATTATTGATAATGATGACAATCACGATTCATTGTAACTATCGATACGATGATTTGAACCTTAAAATCTAGAAAAATGGCATTTTCGAGCTTAAATAATTCTCTCATTGTATGTACATAGTTTCGAAAAATGTGAGATGGGTAAAGAGATCTTAACGGTTGTTTTTTTTACTAAAATCAGTGAAAAATTGTATTTGTTTTATTTGGAAGGATCGACTCCTGTGAGACTGGCACTAATTTCCCAGAGTTTTTCGGCCACTTCTGGCTTCAGGGTCTTCTTTGATGCGTAAACTTTGCAGTCACGATAGAGTAATCCACTCTCGTTTGACAGGGAAGCATCTGTTGCACAGTGTAGAACTGTTTGTGCGCCCTAAAAGGATTATAAGTTACTTAAATTGTTAATGAAACCCAGTGTTACAAAGATAAAATGTAATAAGTTAAACGGAAAATGGTTTGTTACACGATTCTTTTCTTCTTTTACATGCTCACATTTTTCAGTAGAACGGGGACAAAGAATATGAGATTCTTAATTTTTAATTTTGAAAAATGACAGAAAATCAAAAAGATATGGGTGTTGGCGTGATTTCATAATGCAGACACTGCCAATCACCTGTAACTCATTGCGTTTTCATTATCTATTTGAAATAAAAAATACTAATATTACACAAACCCTCGAATAATTGTTCTCAGCTACGAAAAATATCCCACATTTATTTCATGTCTAATTTTACTGTTTATTAGATAAAATATTCTGTTTTGTACTGAATTGAATTGATCGAATGATTTCATTGGAGTTGGGGAGAAGAACTATCACATTTATTACCTGATGAGCTGTGCGTAAAAAAAGAAGAGCGACTGGTGAAAAGATGATGTAATGGAACCAACTCCTCTTAACATCTCTAAAAAGTCCGGTATAAGTGAATCCTGGGCAAACCATGTAAACATTGACCCCAGTATTTGCCAGGCGTTTGGCTAATTCTGTGGCGAAATATGCATTCGCGAGTTTGGAGTTGCAATAGGCGGGATTCATTCGGCCTTTCGAGGGGAGTCCTTTTTCTCCATTGAGGTTTGAGAAATCGATCACTCCGGACTCCATCAATTTTGATGTTACTATCACAATCCTGAACAGAGAAAATCCATTGACAATTATTGATTTCAATTGATAAAAGTCCTTGGGGTAATGAGGAGATAAAGAGTGTACCTGCTTGGAGCAGATGCCTTCATCTTATCCAACAATAGATTGGTGAGGAGGAAGTGCCCGAGATGATTGACTCCAAAGTGAATCTCAAATCCATCTCTCGTTGACATTCGATTCTTCAAAGGTACGTAAACACCGGCGTTATTTATTAATCCATGAATCTCAGGGAAATCTCGTAGTACACGTTCCGCAAATTTGTGGATTGACAGAAGAGACGCTAAATCCAGCTCCATTGGGATCTGCGAATTATCCAAACAGTGTAATTAAATTAATTCCATAAACGCTATTTAATTGTCAAAGGATAAAGCTAGTTTACTGTAAAACGTGTTCACGTGTTTTGTAAATATTTTTGAGGGCAACGGGCTTATGAAATTAAATCAATTAATTTTAACTTGACTTAACTTTTAACGTAATTTATTGCAAGAACCGTGCAATCTTCCAAATGGCCATTGCCCGAGGGCCTTTAGCCTCAAATAATTTTATTACTTCATTATTGCATCAATTCCCGTTTAAATAAAAAATTGTTAAAAATTCACCATTTCTCCGGTGGAAATCTTCCTCCGAATATCAGTAATGCAGTTACGCGCACTTTCCATGTCCCGGCAAGCCATGATGACTCTTGCTCTCCTCCTCACAAGTTCTCTAACTGTTTCCTTGCCAATCCCCGAATTGGCGCCAGTCACCAGGAAAACACGATCCTGTAGATTGCTCGTGTCCTTGCATCGTCCCCACGAGTGTTCACGGCACTTTCTCAACAATCCAATTATCACAACAATGGGCAGGAGGATGTAACACAAGGACGACATCATGCTGCTGTATTTGCCGAGTTTTCTCGTTCAAGGCAGTTGTGGAATCGAATGAGCCTGCGATCATCCGGGGTGATGGGTATTATTCGTCCTGTTCCGATTGCGTCGCATATCGAAGAAACGTATCGATGACTTATCTATTTTTCATTCGATTCTTGAGCACTTCATTAATTTATTTCTGCGCAAAATGCAAATGTGAGAATGATGCGGACGTGAGAAGCGAATTTGGGTAGATAGCTTCGCAATGATACCAACCTTTGCCCAGATATAGGCCTTCCAGTAGAATCTTTCCCTCCGTTTTCAGGAGTCACGGATACAGGTGGGAATCACGAGGAGTGGGGGTATCCTGGGAAGGGAAAACTTCTGCTAGAAGCCCTATACATTCTAATTCATTGGGTCGTGAGCAAAATGTATCGTACGAGAATGCCGTCACACACTACGACTATCGAGGGAGAAAACTGATAGGCCGAGGAGCCGGGCACTGCGGATAAACGCGGATTATCCAATGGAAAAACATGAAAATATGAGCAACAATGCTGCCAATAGTCGAAGACAAATCTCTCGAAGAATCCCTCATTTTCGTGATGCTGATGATTAATTAAACCCAAAACGTTTTATCGTGTTGTCCAGTTCTGAAGGGGAATTCAATCAATAATAATGATCAAAATGTTCCGGAAATTGTGGGTTCATTGTAATTTCAATGTTTTCAATTTTCACTCGTCTGTTGGACTTCCTGAAATAACAAAAACACTGCGTCACACCTGTTTTATCGACAGAACTGTTATTCTAGTGTTGTTTCTGTCCGAATGGTGGAGGTAGAGTCCAAAACCCCTCCACGTGAGCACAAATGGCGAAATGTTTCAGTAACAATAATCTGTCATTTGAAGTCATATGGAGTGAATATCGTTAATAACTCGTGCAGAAAGTTTTTTAGACTTTGATTAAGAGAAAGGGGTGAAGTACTGATTTTGATATCGTGAAAAGTTGATTTGTTTTTTTGGAAAATGACGTACATGAACTCTTGGGAGGAGTTTGAGAAGGGAGCAGAGAGGTTATATCTTCAGGACCCATTCAAGGTATATAATTGCTATTCGCTTTATCGAATAATCAAGAATTCATTAATGAAACGTTGGAAGTGATCAATTTCTCGTCATACATTTTGATAACTCGTTTCATTGTTTATTTCGTGGAATTGCAGGCTCGATATTCCATGAAGTACTGTCACAACAAGGGAGTTTTGAGTCTCAAATTGACTGACAATCGAACGGTATGTGATAAATGGTTGAATTTATGGGAGAGTGGGGCAATATGAACACTTTTGATTTTTTTTAAGGGGAGACTACTATGAGTTTCCCAAGTCGCGGGCTATTGGAACCAGATTACTTATACATTAATGATTAGTGCAAAAAAATTAATTGTTTATTGTTCGTTTGGCCCGCAGATGCTTAAAATGGTTAAAATCGTCCAGGGCCTCTAAGTTCTGAACTGCAGAGGTTATTTTTTCAAAATTTTTGCAAAAATGTACGCAATAACAATTGCAAATAATTTTTTTGAAATTCGAATTCTACACAGTTAATTTTTGTTTTAATAAAAAATTGCACCGTTCATATAAAATAGTCCAAAAAATGGTTCTGAAAGAATCGAGAATATAATTAAAATATTTTCAGGATAATTTTGTTTGCCTATTTTACATGAATGGCGTACATTTTTATATTAAACAAAATGAAATTAGCTGTGTAGGAGTCGAATTTCAAAAAACTAATTCGTAACTGCTATTGTACACATTTTTGCAATAATTTTGAAAAAAAAACCTCTCTAGTTCAAAAATCGGAGGCCCTGGGCTGTTTTCAACATTTTATTGTGCGTGTGCGGAGCAAACGAACAATAAACAATCAATTTTTGGCACTAATTATTCGTTTTTAGACATTTGTTAAAACTCACAGTAGTATCCTCTTAAGCCAATAATTCATTAAACGGTTGATGAAACGGGAGATTATTTTTACGTATAAAATCGAATTTTTCTTTTTTGTGATTTTTTGTGATGAGTCCAGTCTGAGCTCAATTGATGAATTTATTTCCGAGTTGTGATGTTCAAAAAAGAAGACAAAAGCGTCCACCTTGCCCCACCCTCCCCTACTTGTTTGGTAAAAATGAGCAAATAATGCAGATGATTGTAATAATCATTATTTTTGATTGTTTCAGTGCTTGCAATACAAAACAGAAATAGCTCAAGATCTCAAGAAAATGGAGAAATTCATAGGGAACCTAATGAGGCACATGGCGTCTAAGGATAATTAAATATCCAGTAAAACTTAGGTACAATATATTTTTTAATAAAAAAAGTTGAAACAATTTGTTAATCAATCTAATCATACTATAAGACCTGCTTCTCTCTGTCCTTATTTATCAAGAGATCCTATGACTAGTACGATTATCATCTTTTATTGAAATACAGAGTTGAACATTTATTAAGTGTACAAAACATTGGTTCATTCATGGTGCTGATATCCAGGGATGGAATTCACTTTGGATGACTCCTAGACCTTCGCGTTAAAGTTCTGAAACCAACGAGCATTTTATCTGACTTTAGACCAGAGTTAGAGTTTCTGGGTTTACTTATCGATGAAAATTGTTCCGAAATGATTTGGGGGGCGAAAATCATGCCAGACATTATCGACTTACGATATAATTGGCTGAAGTACTGCATCCAGAGTAGCATCAACAGGCGAATTTTCTTGATTGGAAGGCAGATCATAGCGCCCATCCCCCAAAAGTGGCATTTGCGTCTACACCAAATTTAAATAATCAACTACAGTACTCAATAATTAGCAGCCTGCACCGAACTAGTAAAATGTAATGAATCGGACTACTTCGACACCGACACGTATGAAAAAGTCGTATAGAAATTTTCTATACGGATTGCGTGTAGAATTTCTATAGGATTTTCGTATGTGATATTCGGATATTTTTTATACAAATTATTTTTATACGATTTCTATAGGTTTGATACTACACAACCCACTGCCACATGTATAGAAACATTTCGTATGGAGTTGCGACATTTCTCTACGTTTTTCTCTGGAGCGTTTAGACATTTTTCGTATGAAAACAAAAATTTATGTAAAAATTTATGTATAGAAATAATTCGTATTGTAATATCCGAATATCATAGACGGAAATCCTATAAAATTTCTATACGCAATCCGTATAGGAAATTTCTATACGATTTTTTCATATGTGGACACACCATTTTCTCTAAAAAATCACCTATTATACATAATGGAGTCCTTTCATTTTTTGACACATTTGATGTTTTGCATTAAGGGGTTTCGTCTGTGTAAAAAAAATAAGATTCATTTGATGTTTGTACAGGACATAGTTGTTAGATTATGGATGAATTGTTTAACGAATTTGGTAGATTTCATTTTTATGTATAAGTAGAGATGCAAATGCGTCACATGATCTGTCATATAACGATCATGTGACCCATTTGTCTTCCCTTCCTCTATGACCGTTGCAATTTGCCAAAAAATATGACAGTCATTCTCCATCTGTATAGATGCAACTCATTTTCTTCTGTATCAATGTTTATTTGAATTCATTTCGTATTGGCCTAATGTTCATTCAGGAACGAAAATCACGTTAATTTTTCATCTCTATATATGAAACTATTTTTTTCATTTATGACCGTCACAAATTAGAGATTAGTTATGACCGTCATTATGCATCTGTATGTTTTGATAACAAATTACTTCCGAATTATTTGTGACCATCATTTTCAGTTAAAAAATTTGTGTGTCATATAACTGTCACAAGCACTGTCATTTTGCCTTATACAGTATAAGGTATTTCTTATACGTGCGACCTTAAGGCGGCTTATTTTTCAAACTACATAAGAGGAACCGTCCAGCAATCGAACGAACAAGGAGGTTTCATAAACTCTCATTGAATTCATGAATATTATAATGGTTTTCACAGAGGACAAAATTCCATTCCCCTGCATTAACACTTGTCCTACGATAAATATGCAAATTAGTTCGATTTCTGGACGGGTTCGAAAGTCGATCGGTTCACTCTATCAGCACATGGTAACGCAGTTTCGCAAAGGGAAAAATCTCCACAAGATCCCATGTGTAAACACCGACTTTGATTGCTAATAACTTTAAAACGAAATCTATGAAAATCCACACATAATCTCACTATCATTAAAAACATCCTATGTGAATTCCAGATTAACGTTATCACTTAGTTTTTTCGAACAAAATATCCTAAGGATGTCATGTATGTCCTTGAAAAATGGCATTTTTCGATGTTCAGTAAAAAAGTTAGTTTTTTTTATTATTAATAGTATCAGACACATGGAGAATATTGGCGACAATTCCAAAATTTCAGTCCGATGAATTGATATACTTTTTTCTACTAGCAAAGGGAAAGGAATTGAATTTTCAGTTTTGTTTTTGGCGCGAGCCATAATGAATTATCATTTTATTTTAACGCGGCTCGAATATTCTGTATCGTTACGTTCGAGACAAACATCAAGCTGTCCTTGTCCCTCACGAAATTTCTGGACAATTCTCGAATTTACCATAACAAAAGGTATTTAAACCCTCGCGCTCCCAACCGGAAGTGTCAGTCCGATTTGAGTCTCAATTGTAAACATATCTTACGTGATAAATACAAACGACTTTATTATTTCAACCACGAGTCTTTATTTCGCTACCCGCACTTAACCGCCACATTTTTCCTCTTTGTCAACTATTTAAGAATAACTTTTTCGTCGGTGATTTTCAATTTTTAATTTTCTAGTCTTGGTTTTTCTTTGTATATCTCTTTTTCAGAGATTAAATTCATAATTTTAAGGCATTTTTTTGTGTCCTAGGCATTTTTTCTTTGGCCTCGTGATTTAAAAAAAAATCATCTCGAATCATCATTTTTTTGAGCAATTACAGCAATTAACCCTCACACCAGTGTATTCTTTCAAGTACAGACACAGTTATTTTTATTCAGTTTTCGTGGAGTATATGCGCTCAGGTTGCCATCGGGGACAACAATGTACGACTGACAATCTTCGTAGACAAGACCTTAATGCAAACATTACATCCTATCGTTATGTCAAAAAAAGGCACTTCATTATATGTAGTAGGTAATTTCGTCGAGAAAATTCCATGTCGGTATTGAAGTATGCCAATGAATCAATCATCATCTTTGGAACGAATGATTTTAACCGTAAACACCAAGAGAAATTTTCAATTTTTTTTCATTGTCCCCTGAAATCACTCCCCCTGAATATAATTGCATGATTGAATCAATGGAATAAACCAACTCATTCTATTTTACCACTTCGATGCAGTATTTCCCTCCAAATGAAATTTTAGAAGAAAAACAACTCCACAAAACCTCCAAAACTTCACTCTCCGAAAAACAATTATTAGTATTAAATTCAATCCTAAGCCAACGAGGAAATAATCAAATGATTATGAAGCAATGAATGAAGCAGAGGCGATCACACAGTGTTATTAAAACCAATCTTATGCTGAACCTACCATTCGTGGTGCTCTCGTACTGTCAGCAGAACTTGAACAGCAGCTGGAGAAATCCTGGGGTGTGCTCTCACCAAGTCCACTGTCCGCATTACTCCCTACGAGTACTCGGCTATTTCGTGCACTCGCGTCGTAATCTCTCCTCTCATAATCGTACCTAACATCCGGATACTTCGGTTCATATCGACTGGATCTTATCGAAGTTGCCTCGTAAATTCCCTCTCGACTGTGACGCACTCGTCTCTCCCTTCTGTCGATCGTGCCAATCGGTCTGAAAGCGTTAATCTCTTGTTGCCTTCAAACTGCCCCTCTCACTCAATTCAATTGCTTCCTTTTTCGTATACTGAGAGAAAAAACGACCTAATATCACAAAACTAATTTCTTCAGTCAAATGTATTATCTTTTGAGGATAAATGATATGGGACCAGAATCCCGTAGAATTGGGTAGGCCATGTACGAATGTCGTGGAGTGTTCATGACTTGAACATGAATACTTCACGATGGAGTGAGAATTTGTTGGCTCAAGAAATGTATATTTTCATCACGCTGTGACGAAAAGTAAAGTTTTCGGCATGCTCCGCGTGCCTAAAGTCCAATTTCCGCCACATTGTGATGAAAAATATTTTTCATCACGCTGTGACGAAAAGTAAAGTTTTCGGCATGCTCCGCGTGCCTAAAGTCCAATTTCCGCCACATTGTGATGAAAAATATTGTTCGTAACTCGTGAAAAAATGTTTTTTGCACTCGTTACGAAATATACTATTTCGTCTACTTTTCGTAAACGAAAAAGAGCACAGTTCAGCCACTCGCGGAACGTAACATCACTGGCAAAATAATATATTTCGTAACGAGTGCAAAAAAGTGTTTTTTGGCGAGTGGGAGGTTTATATCACGAGCCGAAGGCGAGTGATATAATCCCACGAGCTAAAAAACATTTTTTCACGAGTTACGAACAATATTTTTCATCACAATGTGGCGGAAATTGGACTTTTAGGCACGCGGAGCGTGCCGAAAAGTTCACTTTTCGTCACAGCGTGATGAAAAATATTNGTTTTTTGGCGAGTGGGAGGTTTATATCACGAGCCGAAGGCGAGTGATATAATCCCACGAGCTAAAAAACATTTTTTCACGAGTTACGAACAATATTTTTCATCACAATGTGGCGGAAATTGGACTTTTTCGTCTTAGTCCACTTTTCGTCACAGCGTGATGAAAAATATTGTTCGACATATGTGAGACGGGAATTTTCAGCTCGTGTGATTGGCAGCCCTCGGCTTCGCCTCGGCCCGCGAACTTAACACTCGTGAAAATTCCGTCTCACTCGTATCGAAATATACTATTTAGGGACAGTGTGATGAAATCGTTTTTTTCGGGTCAGGAGATGAGCGAATGACTCAAAATACGAAAAGCTTTGACTCAGTGAATCACAAATAATGGGCTTTCGTATTGAATGAATGGAAAAGCCATACAAAGGAAAATCGCCAGACATTCCTGAAAGATTACCGTCGCTCGCTCGCAACGCAATGAGTTTGACGAAAAGATATTACCCTGTCTCCTTATTTCAAACTTTTCCTGTCGTTTCGAGATTATTTTCTCCTTTCGATTTTTTTTTTCGTTCAGTATAATAGCACTTCATGCCGAAAAACATCGATTTCTTGTCGATAACCTATTGTGGATTGATCGAATATTGATGCTCTTTTTTAGCTCAAGAAATTATTTTTGTGATATTCGGTTGTTTTTTCTCCCAATGTATCGAAAAAAAGCAAATAATTGGTGCTAATGCACGGGAAATAAATAAACAATGTGCAACAGGCTGTTAATAAGTGATTTATTAATGTAAATCATGCTTCGAACGAATAAATAAAGGGCATGCTTAAACTCCAGTTCAAATGTACATGCTTCAAATAAATTAAGTAAAAAATAGTAAAACGAATAAACGAGGCATGCATAGTGGGGGGGGGGGGGAAATTTTTTTTTTTTTTTTTTTTTTTTTTTACTTTTTTTTTTTTTTTNTTTTTTTCTTTTTGTTTCACTTTTTCTTTTCTTTCAAACAATGACTACAGATCCCGTTTCATCCTCCAAGGGAGGGGGACTGTAGTGGGCTGATGTCTTCTTGAGATCATCGTACCTAGGAGGTAACGAGGCGTCCACGCCATTAAGACGTGGATTGACAGACTGTTGATGCATCTGGGCAAGTCCCTGCGTTTGTACGACTTTGTAGGATATTTCACGACGCTGTTGTTCACTCATGCCTGATGTGTCGATTAAACTAAACTCTAAGTGTCTGCAAATGATTGAAGGATTATTTTTTTGCAATTCGTTTGAGTTCTGCGATCGTATTTCTGGGATTTTGGGTAGCGAAGGGGACTCACTTTCTAAGTTCATCTGGCAGTTTTTGGGATGGGGATCGATGTCTGCTTCTATGTCGTCTCCTGGGCTCTGTATGACTGACCTGAAAATGAGCGAGAAGTGGGATCTAAGTTTTTCGATCTGTATCTAAGGGATGAAACGTGATGAACCGATGAAAAAAACTATCATGAAATTATCTCAAGAGTGGTTTTAGGAATGAATTGAAAGGGGGCTGAATAGGATTTTGGAGCGGGTAGAAGGAAACCAGGATGATTCTCGATATTAGTTTACAAGAAAAATTTACTAAAAAAATTGGATAGTCCAGACCGGGGAAAAAACAAAGATTTATTGCAGCGAAGAGGGAGCTCGAGGTCCAATGTTGAACCTCACGATTCTTAAGATCGTCGTAAAGATGTTCCGCGATAATTATAGATGTTCTACCGCCGTCTACCGTCTTTAGACGGCTTCCAGATAGATTGAATAATGTGTTAAAGATTTTGCGTTCAGTTCGTTGCTTTTACGGAGCCCTCCATAATATCCTTAAATACCATACGACGGTCGGTGAATAGTACTACTTGAATTTGGGCAAAAAGTTTACGAAGAAATGTCTCTCGACAGTTCAACAACTCGGCTTAATACGTTTCACCACTTCAGTACAGGAATTATTGTTAATAATTCAAAGTATAAAGATGCTTGCCACGGCTCTTTGAACTCCTTCTCCTTTCCTCCTCTGAGCCTCCCTCCATTGTGGCTCAGAGTCCACCAATTCGTGTCTGCAAGAAATAGAAAATGATAATAAGAAAAGGGAAAAAGAGTTTACCCAAAGATATTCTATGCATTGAATTCTCCAGCAAGTTGAGCCTCTTATTTCCACTTCAATCGGAAATGAAAATATTCGAAGGTACGTCGATAAATTTATTATTCATAGCTTCATTTCTTCATACATGTAAGCACATATTTACCGTGAATTTCGCGAACTTCTGTGTTTTCTGCGATGTTTTCTATGCCCAGATCTGCTATCGGACCCCCGAGACATTTCGGATTCGCAGTCGGAGTGGCGACTGTGTCTCCTGTGACTGTGGCTGTGACTTCTTCTTCTGTGTCCACTGCGACTGTGACTGTCACCAGAGCTCTGGCTCTCAACGGAGCTGCTCCTTCGTTGGAGTCTACTCAGCAGCTGAGGAAAACATCAGTAATAAATGAAATCGATTTCTATTAATTTGTCTTTATCGCGGAAACAAGGAATTTGGGAGGAAGCATCCGGAGATCTGGTTGGTAGCTGATGAAATTTTCAAAGGAATCTCTTGATATTTCCTCTTACCAAGAAAAACGCTGACGGTCGCATGGAATTAATTTATAAATTCGCCGTGTTCATATCTCCGAGGGAAACATGAATGGAAGTGATACGACTGGATGGCAATGTAGCGGAATTGAACTTGATAGGGACCATTTTCAATAGCTCGAAGTGCTTTTCACAGTAGCATTCATGTTACACAGAGAAGGAAAGTTTCTAGTTTCTAGTAAATAGTATTTTTCGTCACTGCGGCGAAGAAAATTTTTCTGGCGAATGTGTGGTTGCAGGACGAGCCGAAAGCGACTTCACACACTGAGAAAAAAATTACTTTTGCAAAGGAGTTATTTGCTTGGGAGAATTTATGTTTTTAGGAGCATATTTCTCCAGGAGATTCGTTAACCATTAACAATTGGTAAAGTTGAATATGACCAAAAACTCGAAATCAGTAAATTGGCTCTGAAAACTAGAAACTTTTTTCTCCGTGAAATCACTCCCAAACGGAATGATTGTGTGTATAACAAGAGAGGGGTGAGCTGCTTGTTTTGTTTCTAGGAAATAGTATTTTTCATCATCGTGACGAAGAAATTTTTTCTGGCGAATGTGTGGTTGCAGGGGGAGCCGAAAGCGAGTTCTGCGCACTAAGAAAAAATTACTTTTGCAAAGGAGTTATTTTCTTGGGAGAATTTATTTTTTTAGGAGCACATTTCTCCAGGCCAATCATGCACTGATAGACTGATTCATTCATTCCAAACGAGATTCGTTAACTATTAACAATTGGTAAAGTTGAATATGACCAAAAACTCGAAATCAGTAAATTGGCTCTGGAAACTAGAAACTTTTTTCTCCGTGAAATCACTCCCAATCGGAATGATTGTGTGTATAACAAGAGAGGGGTGAGCTGCTTGTTTTGTTTCTAGGAAATAGTATTTTTCGTCATCGTGACGAAGAAATTTTTTCTGGCGAATGTGTGGTTGCAGGGGGAGCCGAAAGCGAGTTCTGCGCACTGAGAAAAAATTACTTTTGCAAAGGAGTTATTTTCTTGGGAGAATTTATTTTTTTAGGAGCACATTTCTCCAGGCCAATCATGCACTGATAGACTGATTCATTCATTCCAAACGAGATTCGTTAACTATTAACAATTGGTAAAGTTGAATATGACCAAAAACTGGAAATCAGTAAATTGGCTCTGAAAACTAGAAACTTTTTTCTCCGTGAAATCACTCCCAATCGGAATGATTGTGTGTATAACAAGAGAGGGGTGAGCTGCTTGTTTTGTTTCTAGGAAATAGTATTTTTCGTCATCGTGACGAAGAAATTTTTTCTGGCGAATGTGTGGTTGCAGGGGGAGCCGAAAGCGAGTTCTGCGCACTGAGAAAAAATTACTTTTGCAAAGGAGTTATTTTCTTGGGAGAATTTATTTTTTTAGGAGCACATTTCTCCAGGCCAATCATGCACTGATAGACTGATTCATTCATTCCAAACGAGATTCGTTAACTATTAACAATTGGTAAAGTTGAATATGACCAAAAACTGGAAATCAGTAAATTGGCTCTGAAAACTAGAAACTTTTTTCTCCGTGAAATCACTCCCAATCGGAATGATTGTGTGTATAACAAGAGAGGGGTGAGCTGCTTGTTTCGTTCATTTCTGCTCCACAATCTTCTCCCGTACTCAAGTAATGATAAGAGTGAGAAGAAATGATTCTTTCGACCCATCAAATTACAATAAAACACGGAATAAAATGCTTTCGAAATGGCCAGAAAAACGATAGTAAACTGGAATACCCGTATAAAAAGGCGAGGGTCATAATATAGTCTTGATCAGGCAGTAAAGAAGACAAATATTGAGCTTACAGCAGGTGCAGTTCCTGCTGATCTAACAGAACGTGGGCTTGACGATGTATAAAGTCCACGCGGTTGACTCTGCGTCCATGGAGCACTTCTGGTACTTCTTGGACTGGAATTATTTATGTGCCTTGAGGCACTGCAGTTACTCGAGTTGATCGTAATGTTACGATCGATTGCTGGGGTTTCGACGAACGGGCCAACCATCTCTTGGCCCTCAACTACACGCCTCTGGGCCCTACGACTCGGTGCACGCTGAAATGTTGGCGGTGGATTACGACGAATTGAGCCCTGATGATGTTTCTCGGAGGTCGGTGGACTGTAAGAACGAAAACGGGAATAGGGACTCAATGGGGGTGGACCTGTGGCCATCAATCTGAAGAAGGCTTGATGCTCCTGGCAACATTTCCATAAGTGACGACAGGCACCTCTCGACGGTGTCTCGAAGCCGTGAGTTCGTTCCTCCGAGTTCTTTTCACTCACTCGGAGCATGAAATAACGACCCTGTACATTTTTTTAGAATTATTTTTTTGTCGTTTGGCGGGAGGGGGGATGGTGAAGTGGAGATAATTATGGCAATTACAGGCATTTCGTTTTTAGAGTACCTTTCAAAAAATCCGAAAAATCTTCGGTTTTTAAGGATATCCAAGTATTTTTTACAGTTTGGCACCGACCACAGTATAGATTCAACAATTTTCAATCAACAAATTTGTCAATTCTAATAAAATAAAATAAATTGTTAATTAAATTGGGTGAGAACATTATTATTTTTAAAACATTCATGGTTGATAAATGAATATTGATTGGATTTGTTTCAACTTTCGGAAACCTAATTTTTTTAGACATTAAATTGATTTCTGGTAAAATTCTGAATATGAATACATTTGTTACGATTCCGAACAAATGATGTTTATGGTTGAAATAGAAAATGCTCGTCATTTTCAAAAATTGCAATTTTTAAATTGTTTTATCAATCTTTCTACAAAACTAAACTTTCTATTTTTTTTTCAAATTTTTAGAATGTTTTCTAGCGGTTCAAAGATAGAATTTCACAGGCGGTCATAACTTTAATATGTGTAACAGACATTTCCAAAATAAGTTGTATATAATTTTCAGACTCATCCTTGACCACTTTACCTCTGAGTTATGAAGTTTGAAGTTTCTAATGAATTGCGATACGTGAAGTTTTCACAAAATTCCAAAGTTATAATTGACTAGGTACTAAGCAACTTCTCCATTGAAGAGTTTTGAAAAATTGAAACATAATTTACTAAACTCCCCCATTATTTTCAAACTCACCTTGTAGTACATTTTATTGATCCGTGGCCAGTAATAATTTCCCACTTTGGTTTTATTCCGCAAAAGAATAATTCCACTGGGAGTGAGACCGAGAAAATATTCAACGTTATCTTCCCCCTGAAAAGTCATACCGAATGGTGAAAAAAAATCCCCTCAAATATTGAAAAGCCAAACTTTTCAGACACTGAAGATAAATATTTACCAATACTGGATGCAAATCAACCCCATACATTTCCAGCCATTTAACTTTATCTAAGTAATTGAGCTCGGCGGCGGAGGGAAGTTGGCCCCTGAAAAAAAAAAATCACACACCAATAGAGGAAAACCGATAGGCCACTCCTTCACGGAATAATGTAATCACTTACACAAGTGTTTTATGGAGCTCAACGATTCTAGCCTCAAGTTCCGCCGTTTGATTGACGAGAAATCTGAACTCCGTGACGTAGCCGAGGGAATGCCTCCTGGGATCGTAATCACCGAGTTCCGCTAGAGAATAGAGACAAAAACTAAACGATAAAATTCACTAAAAATCAAACTAATTTGCAGAAATAAATGAAAAGCCCTGAGCCCTTCGTATCCCCTCAATTCCCTCTAATTCCAGGAATAGCAAAACCACCAATCCATTTTCCGCCTTTCTCGTTACGCTCGAAGACTTGCAACGATTAACGGCGCAATCGTCATGGCACGCGTTCATTAAAGAATATGAAAAGGGAATGTAAAAAGTTGGAGTACAGAACGAGCGAGGAATTACACATCTCGAGTAACAAGGAAGACCACAGATCGATTAGCTTCGAGTGTAACTCGAGCCGCTCTTTAACGACTTCAAAAACCACCAGCAAACCGATGCCGTATTATATTTCCAATGCGTCTGAAGGCCCTCAACCACTAGCTACATTGAAGACCTGACGGATGCATCATTCAAACAATAATGCTATACTTTGTTTGTAATTAAATGACCTGACTTTGATGGATGTCTGGTGTGTTGGCCAATGGTTTTATATTTACAGCCCCCTAAAGGCACTCGGTTTATGCTCGAAATCTCGCCACTAATGGTCTGTTCCGCAACAGCTAGAATCTTTTATAACATGAAATTTAACATCGTGGAAATTTAACTACGTATCATCATATAAAATGTCTAAATGAAGTTGAAGGTGAAATGGAATTTTTTTAAGTACATCATTAAAATTGTCATCATGCACCGAGTGCACTTGTCACTGCACTTCTCTCATTTCTATTTACTTAAAAATACAAATTATCGCGAGGGGGCAAGTGTATTCACAGAGGATTGAATGGGGGGAGAAAATGGTCGATGGGATAAAAATGAGGGAACCATCGGTTTCACTATCTCTGCAAACTATTATCTCAAATAGAATCAAAGTAGTTCTATTAATCTCCGTAAGACTGGGGATAATGGAAGGTCGAATCGAAAACGTGGGAGGGACTGAATGAGGAGTAATCATCATTTAAGTAGGGTCAGATAAGATTAATAAATAAAATATGTAGGAGGAATTACTGGTTCACGATAACGTTGAATAGACCGCGCTGGTTAATTCATAAGAGTGCATATCGTGTGCTCTCGGGGGCCTTCAGTCTCATGAGTTATTCCACATATTACTCCGGTCAAACACAGAATCTCAGTGAAGTACTGGGAGTACCTCGGTTGGTAGTTTATGTTATTCTTATTTCTCTTTCACTTTCATTTGGTCAAAAAGATCCTCGGGAAGAAGACCCCGTGGCTCTATTTTATTCTCTCCCTCCGCCTGCCCCTCAGGTGGAACATATAAACGACCAACATTCATTCCTTGTATCTTTTGATGCACGATGAGACGGCAAACATTTGCCACGTATATCTCTATTTGCCCGCAACTTTGAATCTCGCGGTTGATAACTGCGGAAAACCCAAATGTCTTTTGCCTCCTCTCCTCTTTTCATCTTCTACATCTTTCAGGATTTTTTTTTTCATATTTCTTTAATTTTTTCAGACATTTTTTGCGTCACTTTTATCATTCCATGTCGCAGAGAGCGTAAGGATGGGCATGAGAAAGCGCGGGAAAGTCTTTGTGGGGGATCAGAGACAATTCTGTCGGGCGTCAAGATTTTTCCCCCGTGTTAATGCATTCGCCACGTCTTTTGTGCATTTGTATAGGTTTCAAGTATTGCTCACAGACTTTGATAATTGTTTTTGGAGGGGTGGGATTAATGATGTTTTCTGGGCTCCTGATGGAAAATTATTGGGATTTAATTTTACTTCGGTGAGATTATTTTGAGGACAGCTTGAATATTAAAAATTGAAAAAAATTTAGTGAAAACTCGATGTTTTTTCCGAACCTTTCCATTCCGAAGATATTTCCGGAATAATCTATACGGGAGTATTTGATAAATACCTTCAAATCCAAAGGAGGTAGGAAAATATCTTGAGGAATTTTTATTATAGAGCATAGATTATTTATTAAAATTTGAATGTTTCCTCTTCTCTTGGACAACTTTAAAAATTATAAATTGAAAATTTTAACAACATTTTGACTCAACCAGCAACATGGGTTGAAACATCTTTCCCCATTTTTGTGATTGAAATCAAAGAAAAAATGTAACGCGAACATTGTGGTCTAGTTTTTCAATATTTTATTGTTGCAACAAGAATTCGTCAACGTTTCGACTCCTGTTTTTAGTCCTCAGGATGAAACTCATCAAGGTATTGGCACCATAAAATAATGTAATAATGTAATTTTATACATATACACGGAAATTCAAATACAGGAAGTTCAAATACACGGAGAGAAATATTCAGTAAAAATTACGGAACAATTCACGTAATCCGCAATGGGTAATCGTTTTTCGGAAATTTTTATAGAAATAGAAGAGAATAAATCTGAAACGTTCAGTGAAATTGTCACGTAATTTTTTCCGAAGAAGTAGAATCTTACAGAAACTTGCCGACTTATTATGCCTCCAAAATCAAAAATTCTTGAATGTTCAACAATTTTTATGAGGCTCGTGAGGTTCTACGTTCCGTTCCGTAAAATTTCTCAATCCTTGGGCAAAAATTACGGAACGACTTGTCCTCATAGCGGTGAGTCATCAGACGGGTGGTTAATTTTCACGGAAATAATGGTAGAATTTACGTGGCGATTCGTACAATGTCAGTTCCGACTCACCCTTTTTATTGAATTTTAACGGCAACGATGACGAAACGTCATCCGCGAGGGATGCGGATTACGTTGCGAAACGTAATTTTTACGTTTTTTTTCTGGTAATTTTTATTGAATTTTTCTCTCCGTGTATAATCAGATAAAATGTCAATGGGCATTTCTTAATTATTTGATATAGGTCGCTCTTTACGTCTCATCTCGAGGAGCATATTTTACAACACTAAAATATCGAAGATTAAACCACAGGGCGGATAAACCAACATTTATGCTATTGAAAGAAGAAAGGACTGGATGCAGATGTAAAGCGAAGAAAGTGAAAAGTTTTATTCAAAATTGTTTCCCTCTGCTCCAGAAACTTTATCTGCTTGGAAGATATTTTTCGCCTGACATTCTCCGAGTATTCGCGGTAGAAACGATAGTGTTTACAAATGTTAAAAAATGTAATCATTACACGAAACTCCTGATCATTTTCAGTTATCAATTCTCAGTGAACTGCATAAGCATATTCAATATAGCTTAATTTGATCTACTCACACTGTACGACATAAGCACCAAGTTCTGCCGCTAGATCGAAAGACACCGGCAGTCTTCCTTGAACAATGTCCTGTTTGACTTGTAGGAAGAATTGATACCTGCAACAACAGCCAAACAAAAACAAAAATAATGAAGCAAAGAAATTAGATGGGGCTCTGCAATTTGAGTGTTGTCAGGGGATAGGGCCCCCTGGGCATACGCCAAGAGTCCCAGGGATAATTCACCGATCGGAAGGAGAACCTGGAAGCGACGTGAATTCGAACATCCAACATGAAATGATGGCTACTCTATAATTTACCCCTTCTCGTTCGCTGGGGTAATTGGTGCGTTCCGTTAATTGTTGGGTCGATTTCTTCAAGGCAACTTTGGACCCCCCCGATTTCAATCGTCTCACCCTTTTGCTAAACTCTAAACAAGTTTAGAATCTCCTTTTTCTCCCATTTCCCCATGTCTTTATCTGTCTTCAACAAAGTAGCTCATTTAACCCCTCTGGGTTCAAGGGGGAATTAACGAGTTTCGTTCATTTCAATGGCTTCATTTCGTTTGATCAACTTTGTCGTTTAATTCCTATACTGAATAGCGACTCAATTTAAACGGTTTTATCATGTCGAATGGACTGGTATTTCAATGGGAATGTTCATGAATAGATTTGTTTTTCTCAGAAATAGAACCGTAATTGGGATAGTGACTGGTAGAGCTATTGTGGAGGGACACAATTAATCGTTTGAAACATAAAGTGATGAAACGAAATGAATTTCATGCTCAAGGGGATAGGATAAGAGTACCCTCGAAATTTCAAGTATAAAGTCTGAAAATTTGCATATAAATGGTTCAAACAAGTAATCTACTGAAAATTGAAATTAATTGTGAGATTATTCCGTAAATTAACGAATTTGCGATCATTGCTAAATGACGAAAGGTTCAAGTAGGGCTGAAAGGAAAACAATTTTTATTGATTATTTTTCCCTGGTAGATTTCGACTAATCAGAGCGCAGTATTCGAGGCTACCAGAGAGTTCTATTTCGCATATTTCCTGCTAGCTTTTGAATATTTCACAGTAGCTCTTCATTTTTTTCGGCTCATTTTAGATCGAATCTCGTATTTGACAGTCTACGGAAATCCGTTTATTCTATCAACATAATTGGTTCAAATCTTCCCTAATTCACCTCCTGATGTTGTCCACTGCACTCTGATTGGCCAGAATCCGATTGGGAAAAATAATCCGACAAATACCCCTCGAACTTCAAAATTAATCGGGTATTCCCCTCAAGGTCCCCTGCAAACAAACAATCGTGCCACGTTTTGCAAAAAAAATTTTTAACCTGCAAAACTTGACACCCTTATTTGTTTGCAATGAAGCTGTCGGGAAACACCCAATAATTTTGAAGCTCTTGGGGTATTACTACTTAAAGGACTAACTGCACTATTCTAACACGTTTTGTATAACTCTGAAGAGATCTGAATCCAACACATTCGCCATTCCCAATCAAGGGATCTCTAAATTTTTTCATTTCATTTTTACTATCAATTTTTGCATTTGATCTTCCAACCTGCGAAATTTGATAGTTTGTTTGTAATGAAGCTATCCGAAAATGACCGATTATTTGTAAGCTCTCGGGGTATCACTACTGATTATTTTCAGCCACAAACAAACTCAGTTTATTTATCCACTAGTTATTCTATGCTGGCTCTTCTCTTTGCCAGTAATATTCTATTGGAAATCAATTCATTCTCCAGATAATCCCATAATAGACCTTTTCATTCTGAGAGTCACTAGATTTGCGGACACTTTTTTCCCATGTTAATTCCCCTAGGATTTGCGGACACTTTATCGAATTTACATATAAATCATGGTTTTTGAGCGCTCAAGTGTATATCATTGTAAAGTTCAATATTTATCAGAATTTTCCATGGTTTTTTCGGAGATTTTTTCGTTGAATGAACGAAATAAATATTTCCCCTAGATTTCCAGAATGAAAAGGTCTATTAAATCCAATTGTTCTCAGGACCTGCTTGAACCATTAAAATGCAGTAAAACTGATACAAAGAAATAACTTTCATTTGCACCAAACTCCTCGTCATCTTACTGATCGTTTATATCGAAAATAAAAAGAAAACGATTTTCAAGATAATTATCATTCGAAAAAAACAGGTCTTGCCGCGTAAAGTCCATAAGAGATTTGGGAACGCCACAAGTAACATCTCATTTTGGAGATTTTTTATGCTCATTCTGTCTGCCGAAAGGGAATTCGAGCTTATCATTAGCTCTAAACTCAAATTAGATGTAGGAGGCACTGAAAAAAAATTCACCTAAACTCGTTTATCGAAAGAAAAAAATCATAACTCCCTTAATTATCAATATTTATTAACGACTTATTATTTGATATCCTCACTTCTTTTTCCTTGAAGGTTCAAAATTACCCGCAAACTACAGAGAAATAATTTTTTCCAACTTTTTTTTTTTACAAAAATTGTAAAATACACGGGACTGCGAATCGCCCACCGTGCGGCCAACAACGTTCCGTGAAGAGCTGCGACTACTCAAGGGTCAACTTGAAAATTTATTACCCAGATTTACGCCTAATGCAGAACTGAGGATTCTGCTGAGTCAACAGTACTGAAAAACCACTGAAGAAAGTATTGGAATATTGGAAAATCCCGTGGGGTGCATTCATATATAAACGGTCATTAAAAAAAAAATACAGTGGGGTGATGAACGACCCCATTTGTTTGTTGTTATAGGTCATAATTTCCTCTCCAATCCCCTCAAATTAACGTATCTCTTCTCAACATAGGATCATCAATCCCTACCTTGTGATCTCCTCAATGAGTTTGCATGGATCAGCTGCGTAGAATTTCACCCCAAAGTAGAGAGTATGAGTATCTGGCATTGAGTCACCCTTCCTCACCTTCAACTGCTTGCTAATTTTTTTGCTGGGGTCTAGCCATTGCTGTCAGGCAATCAACAAACCAAAAAGAACTATAATCAATAAGAGAAACGCAATACAATCTATTCGGTGGGTTGGACCAGACCGGAAATTACGTCCAAACTTTGACGATGATCTGGAATGCTTCTCCAGCAATTGGATAGAGTCAAATTCCAACTCAAGTGAGGGAAACGTTGAAGTTATCAACGACGGCATTCCCATAAGCCCGGTAAGGATTTACGTTTCTGGGGAATTAATTTGAAAAGGGTGAATTCAATTTGAGTTTAGTTGGGCCCAAGCATAACGACGAGGGACAGAGATGCAGGGGGTGGCAATCGGGAGTAGACTATCGTCAATTTAACGAGAAATTTTCGATAATTTTGTTTGTCCCTCCTCTCCCATTACTTTCTCCATCCAATTCCCATCCCATTTCATTTGTAATCCGATTTTAGACTCAGACATATTATTATTGTTTCTCTTACCGTCTGGTTCTCGTGATCCAGGTAACGAAGACCGAAATACGCTGTCTCCAGGAGGTTTAGATGTCGGAAAACACGGTCGAGTAGTTCTTGACCTAGATTTGAACTCTGGAACAAAATTAGCAATTTTGCGATTGATTAGTAGATGGAATCGGAACATTTTTATCATCAATTTATATTGGTAGCCATCCAAGTTTTACAATGAGATATCAAAGAATGACAAATTCATCATTGCTTATATACGCACAAAAAAATTATAGAGAGAAATCTAGGGGAGCATGGGGCAAAATGAAACACGGGGCAAAATGAAACAGTGGGAAAATCTCGTCATCTAAAGGAGATAGGACATTTTTGAAAAGGACCTTTTTTGTAGCTTGTAAAATTCTCTACAAAAAAGATTTTCATGAAAATCGTCCTATCTCCCTTAGATCACAAGATTTTCTTGCTGTTTCATTTTGCCCCGTGTTTCATTTTGCCCCATCGTCCCCTATCAAATTCGCTAGAAAATTTTATCAAATTTCTGTTGAACTTCTATTGAAAATTCTGTGAGTTTTTCGCCGAATCTACTGAAAAATTTCACAGAAAAAAAAATGATAGAATTAGATTTTTCTACGGGATTCAATGACCGTCATTTTCTCTTTCGGTCGAGTGAGACGTCATAAAGAAAAGAATACGTGTCTAATATTTTACACATAGAAAAACAATTTCAAGCAACAACTCAATTTTGAATTCGATAATGAAAAAAGCAATAAACGATCTGGAATGAATCATTAGTTTCCAAGAGCCCCCATACATCCCAGAGAAAAATTCAATGGATCATGGAAAATTTTCGACATCAAGATGAAACCCAGCATTCATCCCCGTACGCATTGATGCACCGAGGCTGAACGTGTGTGCACGAAAGTCGGTCTGGTACCCGAGATTGAAATCGGTGGTTTCCTGTTCCCACTGGAGCCAGGCGTCCGTGACGTCCATTTGTTTTCCCCTCTGGCTTGAGCCCCCCCCCCCCCGCGAGTAACACGAGGACATGCACGACTGACAGAGCACACGGGCGACGCCCTCTCTGTACGTGGCTAGAACGCGATAGACCTCACCCTCACCTCATGATGCCTCTTTCCAAAACATGTATGTAATGCAAGGCGTTGTAGCCAGCAGGAAAAAAAAGAGCGAGGAGTAAGTGAAGTAAAAAAAGCCTCCCGACGAAACAGGGAGTGAAACAAAGAGAGAGCTGAGGGAGAAAAAATGTAGGAATGCCGTGCGTGTTAGGGGTCAATCTTTGGCTCTGCCCTGCGGACCCTCTGGAATCACTGAAAAATAGCTGAAAGAGATCTGCCACAATTTTTTATAAAAATTTTTTTCAACATCAAACGCTCACGCCGTGTAATTAGCGATCATTTTGCGTTCTCGTTGGATTCACCTCGTTTACAAGTAAGGGAGGGCAATTCCGCCTCTCGAGATGATTCACATCTTGAATTGGCTGAGGGAATTTTCCTGGATTTTTTAAAATAATTTTTTAAAAGAGAGGTGAAACTCACTGGCATCACGCACACATAACAAAACTCGCTTTCAATCGTTCGCTGTGCCTCGATATCCACGTTGTATTATACAGGCAACGATCGATAACTGTTAGATAGTGAGATGAAAAAAAGACGGTTGGGCTTAAAGTCGAGCACAGAAGAGGTGCCCCTCCTCAAGAAACATTTCTACTTTCAAATGCCTCTGACGTGTATGCCCCCCTTCATTCGTTCTTGGTTCTTTTTTTCCATCTCTTGTTTCGGTATTTTTTCCCTACCTTTCGTCTGTTACTCCTCTCGTTCCTTCCATTCGGGGTCAATGGCAACGTCTTGGAAATACTGTACAAGAGAGGAGCAACGTAAGAGAGGGCATATAGACACAAAGGCGAGTTACAAAAGTTTATTGCGTATTTCATGGCCCATATAGAGAGATGAATATTCTTTTTATTCGGACTTTTATGGGAAATAATAAAGACACTGCACCATGAATAACCCCCGGGGTGGGAAAATAGAGAGTGACATTTATTATTTTAAGACAACAGCGCAAGAATTTTTTTTCAACACTGGTGTATTTTACTTTCTGAGGAAGGTATTGTTTTGATTTTTTACCACCATCATCCTTCCTTCTGTTTCATTCTGCACAGATACCGTATAGCCACCACGTACTTTGGAGTGTCGGGGGATGTATACGTGAGTGCACGCAGCATTTGGCGAATGGTTGGGAAAAACGAGAGGGACGAGTGCAACATTGTGACGGGGGCTCACCTCGGTGGAGTCACTGCTCGTTTATGCTGGACATTTTCCGTATAACGTTTCTGCGGTGATTTGCTTTTTTTGGGATAATTCTCTCTTGTTGGGGTTTCGGTAGCTTTTTTTGAGAATGGACTGGCGAGTCACGCTTGGTGTACCCGGACTACGGGGCAAGCGTGGCACATACCGATGTATACGGTGGATCCGTCTTGAATGATAATTTCGTGGAGTGGAATAAGGGAATTAACATTTGAATAGGAGGAAAGTTATTTTTGAGAGGTTGAGTGGAGAGCTTGATTCTTCATGATGCTTTTCAAGTTTTCGGGGAATTGGGGAAATTTGATGGAGACAAGGCTCACAGAGAGGAAGTTTTGATTTTCAGGGATATGGCACTAATTCAGTAGTGAAGCGGGAAAACAATTTAAGGATACTAGATTAGTCCGCGCGCATGGGGCTCAATGTATGCCAATTGTAGTGAATAGTGTTATATTAGATTTCTGAAGTCAATGTCAAGTTTTCCGAAGGAAAAATTTCAGGTATGTATTGTATTTTTTTTATATAGAATAAATCTAGTGTTACGTTTTTTAAAACCAATCTATTCGGCGTATTGTGTCATTAGATTTTCTATAAAGGATGATAGCATACATTAAAGATATTACGATAATGCTATGTTATATTATATACTATACTATATTATATAAACTATGTGTAATATACAATATATAATAGAGTACTATATGTATTATATAATATAATGTAGATAATAAAAAAATAATAATAAAAACCAGACTAGGGTTAATTTTCAGACTGATGTCACTGATTTTCAAAGATCCACCTCTAATTTTTGGCAATCTCTCACCAAAATTCAATGATAAAAGTTACTGCACGGAGAGAAATGTTCAGTAAAAATTACGGAACTCACAATTCCCTCACCGATTACGGAATCGACTCAGAAAATTTAAGTGGCGGTATCGTAATTTTTCACAGGAGATTCAGATAAAAATTGCGGAACGCTCTGGAAAAATTTCGCATTTCGCTCCGGAATTACGGAAAAAATACGTAATTTTTATTTAATATTTCTCTCCGTGTCATAATCAGGATCACTCTAGTCTGCGTCCAGCATCACAAATGATTGGGTATCAATGCTTGAAAATCGGTGACAAGTTCCTGAAAATCAAAACATTTTTTTCTCTGTGTTCCAGCCAGTGGGAAATTTGGGGGGGGGGAGTGTGGTTATAAATTCGGCCAGAAATTTGAAGATGCCAACGCGAGAATCGAACCCGCATCTACCGATCACCGGTCCGTTACTCTCCCAATCAAGCTATCAGGAGTCTTCATACTTCCCAATGAAATTCAACTCCTCAACAATTAATTTGAGTCTGCTCTTCTTTATGAGACAGTGAATAAATTTCCAGTGGGGATAAATTAGGAGAAGAATTCGAAGATGCTTTCAACGGGAATAAAACCTGCACCCTCTGGGATTACCGGTGCGTAAATCGTAACAAACCGGATAATCTCATCTTGTTGACTTTGGGATTATGCCGTTAATGAATGTTTCAAGATGAATGTTAAGAGGCCACTCTTTTTGGGAATTTTCTCAGCTAGTAAAAAGGTCCCCGATGGCAGCACCCGGAAAACATTGTTGATACAACCGGTAAGTGCTAATATATTTTATGATTCAACCCACAAAAAATTATATGAACATACATGGGAAGAAAACTCCCGGCAAAATTACGCAACAACTCACGTAATTGTGGGGAAGAATGTGTATTTCAGGATTTTTTACGGAAATTCAGAAAAAAACTACGAGTCAAAAGATAAATAATTTAATTATTATTCAATTTAAATAATAATTAATAATTTAATGATTAATAATGATTATTAATCATGATTAATTTTTTTTTCTTATTTTTCCTTAAATTCCGTAAATTTTATTACATTGAAACATAATTCTAACCGAAAAAGTGATATTTGTGAATTTTGACCGAGAGAGTACGTTGAAAAGGATAAATTTTTCCAGTTATCCGTTCGGTAAATTTTCCATCACTTAGCCCCGGGCAAACATAAGGGAGATGCGCGCGAGACGGATAAAGATTACGTTTTGGTTCACAATTTTTCCATGCAAAGAGGTGCGAAATTTTACTAGTTTTTTCTTTCGTTTATCCTCTCGGGTCTTTACGATTTTCCCTCTATCCCACCCCCAACCCCCTACCGCATTCGCCGAAGGACAAGGAAAAACCTGACCTGACGGAAAAACCTGCTCAGGTACAGTCGTCTCTTTTACGAGACTCCCGCTCGACAATCAAACTGTACGATTGTCAGAAAATTTGGCGACGCAGCTGGGGAGCGAACCCGAGTTTCCCGCGTACCAATCCTACACTCTAACCCACAGCCACGGCCGTCGGCCTGTTTCACTCAAGTATAATAATATCCTCATTAAACCTCACGCGAGATATTCTTCATCTACTCGTGACATTACAAAAACCCTGATACGTATTTCCTTCTCAAATCCGTGTAATTGACTTCAACACTTCGATGATTTTCATTGGCTCACTAGGCAGACAAAAAAATCATCCCGTGCATTTTGAGCCACGTGGTGCGAAGTTGAGGAACGAGGTGCCTTACAGACACCACCGGCACGCAAGGTCGTATGAACAAATAAACGAGAACCTGAGCCACATAATGAAAGTGTGCTCGCTGCGGCTAGCAGTTGAACGGGTAAAAGGCAACACAACACGATAAATAAAAATAAAACATCTTTGGGGAGACATGGGGGGGGGGGGG